GCAAATGGCTCGAGGCTGTCTCTGTGCGTGTCTCGAGCGGCGATTCTCCTTTCACCGGGGAGGAGAAGAGGATATTGTCGATGGTAAGAACAGTGCTGGATGAAACAGAATTCGCCGTTCCACTGGATAAGCAATTAGACCTGCCGGAAATGGCGAAGTACCTTAACGTTGGGGTACTGCGGGTGTGGGCAACCATCTTCAGAGGAGCTCAAACGTGGGCCATGGTAGACGTGATAGGGAGCTCTTTGCATATATATGCGGACATGTTGGAAGCTACCTAGATAAAGCCGGCAATTTAGGCATCGTCGGGCAGATTCATGTCAACGACGAGTTTCCCGCCCTCTCCCTTGTGATATTCGGTGACCAACTCGTTTAATTTGGATAGGGGAAATGTCTTGATGCTTGCCTTCACGTCGTGTTGAGCGGCAAACTGTAGCATTTCTCGCAGTACCTTGTTGCTGCCGACGAGACTTCCCATGATTGATATATCACGGAACACGACGTCTCGAGCAGAGATATGGAATCCTTTTTCCGGAAAAGAGACAACGATGCATTTTCCGTGATTTTTGAGAAGGGCGACACCGTAGTCAAATGCTCTCTGACTTTCTGGTAGGATGATGACCGCATCCAGGCCCATATCTCCCCTATCTTGTTTTCCGTCTTGATGACCGAGTTCAGTTACGACGTCTCCTGCTTCCTCTGCTCTCGCATCCACTATCCTCGCGCCGTTTGCAACCTTCCTGGCCAGCTGCAGTGGCGCGTTAGCATTGTCGACACCAGTGACTTTCAAGCCCATCTTGACTGCAAATTGAAGCCCCAGGTGGCCTAAACCGCCCCCAGCACCTATAATACCAACACGCTGGCCCGGCTGTAAGCCGCACCTTTTGAGAGCAGCGTATACCGTCACTCCAGCACACATTAGCACGGCGGTATCGACAGCAGACATGCCATCAGGAATCGGTGCAACCTGGCGGCTATCCACAACAGCGTACTCCCTGAAGCCGCCGGGGCCACTGATGCCATTGTTTTCAGAGTGTGCACAGTACACGGAGTATCCAGGGGGATCTGCGTCGGGATTGTGTGCTGTCGGACCAGACACACATTCAAAACAGCTGCCGCAAGGATGAAAAGAGCGCCCCGGGACACCAACGCGGTCGCCTACTCGTAGTTGCGACGAGTAGTTCTCTGGTAATGCCACGACGGTGCCCGCGAACTCATGACAGCCCACATGTGGAAATGAAGACGGATATGGGGGCATCTGGCCGTCGGCAAGGACGGCATCTGTGTGACAATAGGACGCGGCGTCTACTTTAATAAGAACATCGTGTGAGGAGGTGATGGCTGGAAGAGGAACAGAACGTAGTACGTAGGGTGTTTTGAAGGCCTCGAGGAATTGCGCCCTCATGAGGCTTGGTAGTTTAGAAGCCACTGATGTCGACATCTTGTTTCCTGGTACTTCACTTTCGCAGATGCTAGGCTTTCGCAAACGACAATCTAAATCCAGGTAAGCGAAGACTCGGTATGGACAGTATATAGCTCTAACTTAGTGCTTCGTTCAGGATTGATCGTGTAGGTATTAGTTGGGACGACTTCCCGACGCAATTGGGGATCGCCAACACTGAGGGGACACTGATAGTAATGCTGGCAGTAGCATTTCTTCCCCTCATCCCCGTTTAGCCTACCTAATTCCTGGGGTGTAATGCAGCATCACTATTCCCCGCATAGTGAAGGTGAACCCCCGCAACAGCTCAATTGCCAATTCCGTTACCAAAGCCATGTTTAGTTGCCGTTCTAATCAGGTCGGTGATTGAGAGAAGACTTGACATGTGAGTCGTGGGTGCACAGTCAGTATCTTTGCCATTCAGTCATCTAATTATAACACTTCATACTAACTAATTAACGAAAAACAACAGAGGTGCAATTATTACCGGGACAGCGCGATAAACCCTTTCTTTCATATCAACGACTTGAGAAGGGAGAGAACAGATCCATTATGGGTGCCGCAACAGACAGCGGATCAGCCGTCTACGTGACGGTATCGGCTCTTGACGCCGGCCATCTCACACTTCCTGAACGCCTGTTCGTTACAGACGCCGACCCGGAGAAGCGCAGCACAGTCCCTTCTCTGTCATTTCTCATTCAGCACCCATCGCCATCTCCATCCCGCACCAGTAGCAAGACAACCAATATTGTCTTCGACTTGGGTGTCAAGCGAGATCTGACAGGCTATCCACCTGCTCAACAAGCACACATCGCGCAGAGACAGCCGACGATCACCGATCCAGATTGCGCTGCGAGTCTACGTTACGGAAACTCTCAAGAGAAGAGAGCCGAGGTTCTTCTCGACCCTGGGAAAGACATTGATACCGTCATATTGAGCCATGTCCACTGGGATCACGTCGGGACGCCATCCGACTTCTCCAACGCCACATTCGCGGTAGGGTCCGGCACATTGGATCTGCTGAAGCACGGTGCCGGTCCTCTGTATCCCGCAGAGATCTTCAACGATGACGAGCTGCCCAAATCTCGTACCGTCGAGTTCCCACCTGTCTCCAGGACCGGCAGTGGCCAATATGATACTGCCGAACACACTCCCAAACACACACCGACTCCTTCCAACTCCCAAGTCAAATTACCTCCGTCGGCCGCAAAATGGTCTTGGGAGCCACTCGCCGCGTTCCCTCACGCATTGGATTTCTTCGGGGATGGCAGTCTCTATGTAATTGATAGCCCTGGCCACTTATACGGCCATGTAAATCTGCTGGCTCGTGTCGGCGACCGCAAGTATGTCTATTTGGGTGGTGACTGCTGCCACGACCCGAGGATTTTGAGCGGAGAGAAGGACATTGCTCTTTACGATGACGGCAGGGGCGGAAAGAGAAGCGTTCACGTCGATACGGGGGTGGCAAGGAAAACGTTGGATCAGATCACTGAGTTCGTCAAGGAGAGAAGAGAAGGAGGTGTGCTAGAAGTCGAGACAGTAGTGGCACATGATGGCGTGTGGAGGGCGCAAAACAGACACCGCTTCTGGCCAGGAAACTTGTAGATGGCTTCATGCAGGCAGTAAATTGACTATTCACCACAACAAACATTTCCATACTGAAGTCCTTCTTGCTCTGAAAGGTTTCAAAGTGAGATAACTTGTGAGTAGAAACTCCCACTGCAGTGTTGGTTTAAGGTCTCACAAGGCTCGTCTCCAGGCCTTGGTAGAAGGACTTTGTCTCTCTCCAACATGACCCATTTCCATGTTTGATTCTATCTAAACGCTTTCTTAGCAGCACAGCAATTTCTTTGGGAAGCTGGGAGTCTGATCCCAAGCAACTTCACATGCAATGTCATAGCCACTATGCACCTGTCTCGTCTCAGGCATTGGGAAGGATAAGACACCCCCACATCCATGCGCCGATCGGGGCAGTCGGGGTAGGTCTCAGATCCCCCCACAGCGTGTCTTGCAGTGTATCTCTTCCCCGCAAACGGCGGGGTAAGTCAACTCTGACAGGGGAGGACACATGCTGTGGGGTGGAGAAAGGAAATAACGCGGGGCCTCATTGCCAAAATTACGTCGAAGTTCACTTACATGAACAGCAGATGCACAGTATGATCGTGACACGGTGATTCTTTTTACTTTCCATTCTATTCACATGCTCAAACACTGAGAATTGAGAATTGGACTCAAGTAGTCAAGTTGAAGAACCATATCTCGTAACATAGCAACCCCACTCAGGACCTGACAATGCCTGCCTCACCTGCAGACACAGTAGCCTTCATCGGTAAGAAACGAACATCAGCAGCGATCAAGACTAATAAGGCTAATAAACTAATTATTTAGGCCTTGGGGTCATGGGATATCCCATGGCGAAGAATCTCCGTGCCGGTCTGGGCGCCGACAAGACGCTTCTCATCTGCGACGTGAGCAAGGAGGCGATAGAAAAGTTCAAGAAGGAGACCGCGTCCAGTAAAGGTCCCGTCGAGGTCGTAAACAGCGGCTTCGAGGCTGTCAAGGCAGCTGTAAGAGCAACTTCAACCACAATAGGTTAAAGGACACATGAAAGCTGAACTACCACTTCAGAACACAGTCATAACCATGCTCCCCGGCTCGGCCGCCGTCCAGTCCGTCTACCTCGATCCACAAACCGGCGTCCTCGCAGGCGCCGTGGCAGCAGCGAAAGAGAGCAGCTCAAAGCCAGAGGAAAAGCTCATAATGGAATGCGGCACCATAGAAACCGACACCATTCTGGCAGTCGCCAAAGCCACCCAGGAGGCGAGCGCCTCAGAGCTCTCGGACAGCCTGACCTTTGTAGACGCTCCAGTATCCGGCGGCCCAATGGGTGCCGTGGACGGGACTCTCACCTTCATGGTGGGCTGCGCACCTACAGCCTCCCCACGCGTGTTCCCCATCGTCAAGTCCTACCTGCAGCACATGGGCAAGCCAGATGCCATCTTCCTGTGCGGCGACGTGGGCGCGGGCACGGCCTTCAAGATCATTAACAACTACCTCAGCGCCATCACCTCGCTTGCTGCCTCCGAGGCTCTCAACATCGGCGTCAAGGCCGGTCTGGACCCGAAGCTTCTAACAGACGTGATCAACGTCAGCGGCGGACAGTGCTGGGTAACGAGCAAGAGCAACCCCGTCCCAGGCGTACAAGCGAATGTGCCAAGTAGTAGAGACTATGAGGGAGGATTCCGAATCGAGCTATGCGCCAAGGTGCTAGGAATGGGCAGCAGGTTGGCGGAAATGGTCGGCGCAAGGACAATTCTCGACACACCCACCATGGACGCATTCAAGGAGGCTATAGGGGACGACAGATATGCCGGCAAAGACGCACGGGTGGTGTACAAGTGGTTGAATGAGAGCAAGAGGTAATGCCAAGATGGAATACATGTATAGCAATACAGAAACCTGCGAAACACAATGGCGCTTTCTTCGCCGCTTTACCTGCTCCTCGAAGCTTGACAATACCACGCGAAATGCTATGACTGAACAGGTTCTAGGTCAGCGATATCGACTTCGCTGCATCGCCAAATAGACCTGGCACATCGCGCGCACGGTTTCAAACAGCGACACGGGTTAATAGTAGGTGCACCCGTCTCAGAAGGACTCGCAAAATTATCATTGCTAAGCTGACTCCTTTCCAATAATTATACAAGACCAACTTCCATCTGGCCGCCCAGTCGCTCAATTAGACGGCAATTCTTTGATCTGCGTCCCGCCTATCTCCGCCGTCGGTATGAACGGCAACTCCTGCCTTTGTTGTGGATATTGCGCTGGCGGTCCATAGTACATCTGGTTCATGCCACTGTGGTCTGTTCCTGGCGACGGGTAATAAGGCTGCTGGTTGGTCTGGCTACTCGGAGACGTAGTCGAGCCTCCGTTCTGCCTCCTCATTTGCATTCCCAGAAATATGATGGCAGCTATCAATGCCAACCCTAGCGGAATGCCAACTCCAAGCCCAATAGCGAGCGACTTGTCTACTCCCCCACCGCCTGAAGATGACTCCGCCGACTGGGAGGGCGAGCTTGTCGGCGATGTCTGCGACGCGGCACTGTTCTCGGCGGTCGACGATCGGCTGGTGGATTCTGAGCCTCCGGTGGTGGAGGCCGGAGACGAGGAGGGTGTCGCGGACGGAGCGGAGCTTGCCGTGGAGGTGCCGCCCGGTCGAAACAGCGTGCTCCATAACGGAATCGTGGTCATCACATTGCTCGACACGCTGCAGCATGTGTAATCTTCACCGCAGCACAGTGGATTATCTTGTCCATTCAGACTTGAGCACTGCTGAACGTAAACGTATCCGTCGTAGGCTGTTCCATGGTAAGTTCAGCGTTCTCAAGTAGACGGATGAATCGAGGACTTACAAACACCTGACAGAGGACAGATGAGATTACAACCTGTGCCCCATTCCTTGTCCGTACAGCCCTGGATAGAAAATCCATTGTTCCCGCCAGCATCTAAGCAAAGGCCGTTTGAAAGACAATAATCGGCGTGGCTACAACACGGGCTTACTTCCGCCAACGGGTCGCAAGGAAGAAGTTTTCCCTCCGTATCCTCGGACCCATCTGTACCATAACAAGCCGCTCCGGCAGTTCGAACGCCGGCAAGCAAAAGTACGGCGAGTAGAGGAGCGCTCGTTCTTGTGCGCCACCACCGGACACCCATTTTTGGCAATTGCTGACAGGAACACCGTTTAGACTAGAGTGTGGCGCGATATGGTGTCGCTTTTAAGAAAAACGAGACTCCAGGGACCCCCAGATCTAAGGGGCCGCCCCTCACGGCGTGGAACGCCTGACCGTTGCACGCTGCGTTCAGCTGAACGGAAAGCGAGCAGTACGATGAGCTTGTGGCGTAGCACCCATGTAAAGGGATGTAGGTCTCATTGGAGCAATCCCTCGCGACAAGGCATATTATTAGGCCTTGAGCAATCAGTGCACGACATTCGAGCTTGGCACGGGCAGGCTTGCATTCTGGGCTTGTGTCAAATGAAGCTAGACAGCGCCAGGTCCTATTGCCCACGATGGTTTCAAATTGACAGGCTCAGAGCCATTCGAGATAGGGGCAATCTCAAGACCATCGTCATGGCTGGACTGCAGCTGAAGATCGAAACATTAATTATAAAGCAAGTATGTGCATTACTAGGTATCTAAAACGCCTACTCATGCTGATATATTCACAGATTCAATTTCATGATAAGTCACTGATGCATCGATACTCTCAGTCGATGCGCGTGTCCTCGCTGGTGCACAATGTACCATTCAACATGCACGATTCCCTAAATCTTCACTAACCATCCACCACCTAGCCTTCTCATCCTGGCAATTCGCGCAGCAGCTAGGAATCCCGTGCCAACCAGCAGGACCGCGCCTGCAAAAGCCTGTGCACCGTAATAGCTTCCTCCAGACGCGCTGATGATTGCGCCCGCGATCGGTGGGCCGATCAAGGTCGCGAAGCTGTTCGTCGTGAACACCATGCCCATCCGCACACCTGTCTTGCGCAAGTCCGTGGTCAGACTCGAAAGACTTGCCGGGAAGATGCTCTGGATGCCACCGGCGGCAATTCCATAGAAGCATGCCCAAGCGTACAACCCGGCTGGATTGGTGACGCCCATCCAACAGAGCTGGCAAACTCCGGCCATAAGAGCGACCGGCACAAAGACATTGATGGGGCCGAGAAGATCGCCCAGGTAGTTCGGGACCAGCCGGCCCACGGTGCCGACACCGTTCATCAGCAGCAGCAGGTCTAAAGATTGAGTATACTCCATTCCAATTATGTCTCGACTGAATGAAGCGACATAATAGAATGCAAAGTACACGCCCATGAAGCACTACTCAAAAGGTCAGTCATGCTACATCTAATTGGCCAGATCTTTCGCCATATCACGGGAAGTTAAATCAGTGTGGATCAGTGTCAACGTACGAAGAAGCTGCCAAGGGCAAAGAAGGCATATTCCAACTCCTTGAAGGCTGCCCACTCCACAATTGCTCCGTTCTTCCGTGGTGGTATCCTGGTCCTCATGAGTGCATTCGCGACCACCAGGCCGGCGAGCTGAATGAAGCCGATTGCGCGCACCGTCCATGGAAATCCAGCACTCGGCAGCAGCTGCCGTGCCATGCTAGGAAAGATGAGTCCGCCTGTGACGCTTCCGCAAGCCGTGATGCCAATCGCCAGACTTCTCTTCTTGCTAAAATAAGTTGATACCGTCGCTAAAGCTGGACAGAAGAGGCACCCGTTGCCAAGACCCATACAGATGCCTTGTGCCAGGAAGAGCTGCCAGTATTCAGTGCATGCCGAGGTTGCGAATATGCCAAGAACTTGAAACGCCGAGCCGAGTAGGAAGATCTGACGGAAATAACCTGCATCTGTCAACCGGCCTGTGAACGTGCCGATGAAGAATAGCAAGAACACCTGAATCGAGCCAATCCATGAGATCGTCGACGGCGGCAAGTGAAGCGACGTTGCGTAGTAGGTTTGGAATATGCCGAAAGAGTTGATATATCCCCTAAAAGAATGGCGTCAGCTAAGATTGTTCCAATTGAACACTGGGGATACAAACCAAGTATTACAGATTATCAGATGACCACACAAGACTAAGTAAGTGTCAGAGACGTCGTCCAATTCAAATGATTCATGCCCAGTGATGCTAACCTGCAGTCCAGGCTTTCACGCCACCGTCCGGCGGTGGGCCGGGATTCCAGCTTGATTTTGTTGTCGACCGACTAAGCACCCGGCCCACAACACGGCCAAGACCTCCTCTCTGCTCCTCCGGCTCCTGTGTACTGTCACCGTCGCTGTCCGGCTCAATGTCGTCGTCGTCCAGGCGCAGTCCTGGCAAGGCCTGGTTGTTCGACGACCTCGAGTCTTTGCGACGAAGCTCTTGCCGCTTCTCTATATCACCGAGTGATACATTGTCAGAGGACTTAGTATGCAGCGAGGCAATCTTCTCAATGTCGCTTGACTTGTCGAGGTCACTGCCGCTGGGAGAAGAAATAGGCATGCCTGCCCTGTGCTCCAGCCTCTGCTACAATCGCTGCGGAGTAGAGATCAAGTTCAAATGGAAACTATTTCGTCGGCCTCGTTGGTTGATGACCGCAGCTTCTAAACTTTCTTCAAAAGACCTTTTCCGATATTGTTTTAATTTGCAGTATGTCGGAATTGATCAATCGTTGTTATCTTTACCGAGAAGGGAAGCAACACAGATTCTGTCGAGTTTTCGGATCGGGATCGCTTCCCAGAGTCATCATGGAGTCACCCGAAGAAAAAGTCCACTACGAAATCGGCGCCGGACCCATACTTAATGCAAGCGGAGGCTAGATCCGAATGAGGGTCCAGTGTGCCGATAGCCATGAGAGCTCCGCTCGAGTACGGTTCGGATCTGTATTGAAATGGGCTTAGTAGATGTCATATTAATAATGGATAGCGAAAAGGGTGACTAGGAGAAACTAGTTTCTCCGCCACTGAAGAGCGACATTTCTGTAATATTTTCAGCCCGTCCAGGGAATAGGTCTTCCTGTGCTGTAGCGCCAAGGGTGCGTGGTCGTCACGCATTGGAAACCATGACGGCGTTATTCCCGATTGCTGGGGGCAATGCGATCGATAGCATGTGTGGGTGGGGTCCCACGTTGCGAGGCTTGTCTAATTGCAAAGCCGAATGCTGCGGGCAGGAGCGATCTCGGCACCCTTTTAGTTGATCCCGGGGAGCCTTAAACACCGGAGCGATGGACGGAACGGCGTATCAAGAGTATTACAAGCCGGCTGCGGGACAAACATGCGGAGCTCAAGTGTGACTAAATTGGTACTAAGTCTAATCGTACGTTGTCGTGTATTAGAGATGAATGAATGTACAGCGACTACAAGATTTCTCGCCGCCTCCCAAGATCCGGAGCTTGATTAAGTTTGCCTTGTGAACAATTCCTTTCCGTCAAAGTGCCACAACAGATACATTAGTCCGGTCAGATGAGGAAGAAGACATTAGTGTACATGAGCAAGCGTGAACTTTCCGAGCTGTGCGACCAAAACTAGAGAAGCAAAGAGGAACAGATGGAATTTCGGTCGAAACGACCAAAGATGCGCCATGAGATGAGTTTGACACAACGCCAAAGGACGCCTGAACCACGCAAGATAGTGTACATGTTTGACTTGAGGTTTGATCGGCATGGTTCTATGAATGGCCTAGCGATGACCGAAGTTCGCGCCTATCTTGCCAGAGAGAGCACGGCGACGTCGTAGGTCGGTGGTGTCTCGAACGATGGAGCGACAGACGGCAGCGCTGCAGCTGATGTCGGTCCATGAGAAGTCAATATCATCAGCCCACCAAAGCGTGGACTTGCTATTGGCTTGTACGTCTAGATCAATAGCGGTAAGGTCGACTAGTGCTGACGAGGGACCAGCAAGTATTGAGCCAAGCTCGCAACCGTCCGCATCGTGACAGGCCGGTACGGTGAAGAACTCCGACTTGGTTGGGATTTCTATTTGAGCAGCCTCGTCCCATCGAAGACCTGTGATGTTGAAGACACAGTCGGAGGAGTTTGAGTCACAGCCGACTCGAGCACTTCGGAAATCAAAGCGGAAGCAGGAACTTGCTTGTAGAGATCCGACGCCCAGATGCGCAGTTTTCGACTGAGAGGAAGTGGGCGCGAATTGCAACATAACGTTGCCCGACGAGGGGTGGTAAGGGGCATCATGAGTCTTGAGTGTGAATCCATCGGACCACTGAAGTCTGTGGTAAGGGCTGGTCAAAGGTATTGGCGACGCATTGCTATGCCCCGACCCACGCGTGACCTGAAGAGGATCTAGGTCCTCAAACTAATGATCATTAGTCCAATATTCTATAATTCCGTTGATTCAACACCACATGAAGGAAACTTACAGTAAGGCTGAAAGAATCTCGATCGGTAAGATCTCCACAGGATCTCTTCACAGACCTTGGAGCGTGTAAAGGAACAACAGGATCAGTGATCTCCGGACCCGGGGCGCTTTGAGTGGGAAGTGGACCTGGTGCACTTTGAATAGGTGCGGACTCCGGACCCGGCGCTGACTGTATTGGTGCTGTCTCATCCGGCCCAGGAGCACTCTGCGTTGGGAATCGCCGTGTTGGAGGGACGGTGGTGGATTCCCCGGGTACTGATTGAGGAGGTGGTGCCCCCGTTGTGGATGCAATTGCGGTAGATTCACCGGGCACCGATTGAGCAGGAGCTGCTCCCGTCGTGGAAGTTGCAGATTGGCTTCCTGCGCCTTGGCTAACACTGCTGCTGATCGATGCAGTGGTGGCAATCGATAAAGAAGGGGACGTTCTGGCTTCGCTGGAGCTTGAAGTGATGACAGTTGACCGAGGGCTGACCGAAGCGCTCAGTGTCGCAGCAGCCGAAATCGTGTCACTCAACCCCGATGTGCTTGCAAGAACAGATGCAGACGCTCCTGTAACCGTCGAGAACAGGGTTGAATTTGATGGTGCGCTCGGACCGGGACGTGACCATGTAGAGCTTGCGGCAAGGGACGTCGTGCCGGCCAAAGACGCAGACTGATTAGAAGGAGATGAGGTCGGGCCTGCCGTAGTCGATCCAGTCAGGTTGGCGGACAAAGACGGTGTTCCACTCACTGCTGCACCAGTGGCAGTTGCCGAGGTAGTTTGGTTAATTGTTCCAGAGGCTGACGAGACATCACGAGAAGCAGACGGGCCGAGGCTGGATGCCAATGTCGTCAAGTTGGTCGACGATGATGTCGCCGACCTGGTATGAGTGGGTAGAGAGGAGACAGACAGAGTGCCATTAACCGTGGGTTCAGATGCAACACTGCCGCTTGCAGCTGCGGACGCGGACAGTCCAGTTGTTACAGCTGAGCCAGTGCCATTGAACGAAGAGGTTGGTAAAGTGTCTGTCTGGTTGCCAGTGACAGTCGCAGAAACATTGCCATTCAAAGTGGCAGATGGGGTGATGTAGTTGGTGTTTGTTGCACTTGGCATCAAAGTGAAATTGCTTGTTGGGAAGGGCATTGTCAAAGTCGTAGAGTTGAGCGGCAGGATGACGCTTGTGGAAGGGACTGTGCTTCCTGAAACAGTTGAGTTTGCTACGGACAACGTGCCCGAGATAGCTCCAGCCGACCCGGTGGAAGCTGCAGAAGGCCCAACTGTGGATGAAGTGACGATGTTAGACAACTGGGAGGTTGTCTGGGACGTGCCACTCAAAGGTATGGGACCACACCCAGGAATTGAGGGCAGCGTCGAGGGAATCGAAGATGTTGGGCTAGGAGACACAGGTCCCGGTGGAGTCAATTCATAACCCCCAATAGAGTAGCTTGACGAAGATGAGCTTGGCAGTGGAAACAAAGTGCTCTCGGAGGGAATGGGAGACACAGGTGGGATGGCTGGTGTCGCGATTGTGAGATGCCCAGAAGGATAAGACGGCGGGCTCCAAATCGGTGTCTCCGGTCCCGGTGGTCCAGCTGGTGGAGGAGAAATGGTCAAGGTCAACACCGGAGGGCTAGGAGGTGCTAATGGTGTAGATACCTCAGGAACAGGGGTGGGAGTGACCGGCAGGAGTGGCAAAATAGTTGTGAATGTGACGGTGACGGACTCCCCAGGGCCCCCTGGTAGCGTTGCCGTAAAAGTCTCAGTTACATATGGGACTGGTGATACAGGGGCTACCGGTGAGGTCGACGCGGGTGGCAGTGGCCAAATCGTGATTTCAGTCGGACCACTCGGCGGCGTGACGATGACCGGAGACTCTACTGGTGCCGAAGAGACCGGTGGTGCCGGAGGAGGGGGAGGAGGGATGGCAGATGTAGGTGGTAAGGGGACAAGACTACTCGGAAGAAGCGTCAATGTGCTTCCAGGAGCAAGTGTAATTGTGAGAGTCGGCCCTGACAAAGGCGTCGTGGCAGGAGCAGGCGGCGCCGGTGGAGGGACGGTGCTGACGCCCTGCGGGGGAATCGGAGCTGTAATGGTGATCTCCTGCGGTGGCTGTCCCTCTGGACCAGGTATGGTGTAAGTCAAGACTGTGAAACTTGGATTGCCTGTAATCGCGGGAATGCCACCGGCAGGATTGGTGGTCACGGGAGGTGGAAGAGCCGCAGACGATGTTGAGATGTATGGAGGAACAACGACAGACGACGCGCCAGCTGAGGCTGGAGGTCCACCACCGGGTATTGATTCACTGGGGGTCATAGTCAAGGTCTTGACGATGGGAGAGCTGCCAATGGTACCGACAGTGAGGGTGAATGTCATTGTAGCAGCCAATGGGTGGCGATCAGGGCCACTTGCTTCTGGTCCTGATGGAGGCGGACTCGAAGTCGCAGGACCGGAGCTTCCAGGAACAACAGGAGAAGGTGAAATGACTGGAATTGTGGGAGGCAGTGGCTGAAGAGTGTAGCTTGCCGTAACCACAGGGACCAAAGATGAAGGTGAAGTGGTGTCATGATCAGGGGCAATGACCGAGCCAGAGTACTGAGGCGGAAGAGATGCGAGACCGAGTTGATGCGCGGGAGGGTTGACAGAGGGGTCTTCCTCTGCCGCTAGAGTGATGACAGTAGTGATGGCAACTGTCTCAGTGCTGATGATGCTGTTGATCGTGGTCTGAATTGCGGTGACAGGAGTTGGCACGACAGGCACAACGGTGACGAAGACAGTCTCCGTGGCCGTATCCACGGCCGCACAAGTCGGACTGGAACTACTAAAGAACGACAATCAGCATCTCAAGGAGGCTAATAATGCCAGAAGAAGACACTGTACCTCAGTGGCAACGCAAGTGAGACCGGCAGAGCGCCGAGGGCAAACAGCACCCCGAAAGATAAGGACAGCCTCATCTTCACGACGTGTTGGCTGGGAAGCTGCCTCTGATGGGCGAATACTCAGACCGCAGGTCCGAGAGACTGCAGTTACAATGGAAAACGGAATTCGAGATGTAGTATTACAGGCTCGCAACTGTAACGAGTGTTGATGAACGAGGGACAAGTGCGAGCCGAAGGAAAGGAGGGTGCAGCTTGGAGATGAAGGGAGAGAGGAGACAAGAGAGTGTTTTCAAGACAGAGAGAGAGGGGGGAGGGAGCAGGGAGGAAGAAATGGGGGAGAATCTCTGTTGGGACGAGTCGTTGAGGTGAAAAGGGCGCAGGCTTCTCTTCAGGAAGTCGCGATGCTGGGCTCTCGCTTCCCTAGTTGGTGCATAGTACTGGCAAGTTGCTGTCCGCTTCGCTCCAGACGCACCTTCCCCCTTTCCAATTCGGCAACATCCCGTGAGCATGCAAATGCCGCTCTTGCCTTGACAGCTCTAGGCTGAGTACTGGTGGCAGGTCCGTTCTTATCCCCGGATCAAGCGATAAAGCCTGCAAGCGCGTTGACACTTCAAGTCATCATGCTGAAGTACCCAGAAAGCAGCCAGAGGAAGGTGCAATGGCTATACGAGGCCAACGTCATCATCTTTCTCTCCAAGCAGATATTCTTGATAAGAATCGGGCTGGCAGGCGCTTGGTAGACACCGCTCCTTCCAAAAGTCCAGCCAAACCTCTGCCTGCCCCTTAGATTTTGACCGCGGCGGACTTGTGCCCTGAGATGGGCAGCATCGGGTCCTTGCAGCGGCTTTGGGCTCATGCTTGTTGACAGTGCCAGCACCGTTTTAAATGTCCAAGATTGATGCGAGTGGCAGATGACAGAATCTCATTCAAAGACCATCTACAAGACACGATTAGAACCTTGCTTCCTGATAATTCTCCAAACGCTCTCACTGTTGAGCCAACTAAATTTGGGGTGGTGTCAGAGAGGGTTGGGCATGCTCATCCAGATCTGAAATGGATGTCTCCGTTTATTCCTCGGACGATTGCATCGGAGTGCTGCATACGGGATTATCCCCGGTGGCTCACCGTTGCTGTTGATCGGCACCTGACAGCAAACAAAGATGGCTTTCAAGCTCGTATATTACGAAACGAGCAGCTCAAGCCAAGTGTTAACAATGCTAATGGCGCCCAGCCGCGTAGATGAGACGACGTTTGATGTCACGTCCATACAATTTACAGTAGTAGGGCACGGTCCATACAGATGTAAAGGACTTTGTGCGACTCAAGGACTGAAGACTAATAATGATTCTATTCTTTTATTTCAAGTCACCCAGCCAAAGCAAGCATCTACACGGGATCGTCCATATAAGGCGGCGGAGGCTCATCCGGCAAGCCTCCGTTCCCATCTACCGCAACCGCACTCGGCGCATCAGGCTGTGGCCGACCTTCGGGCACTACCGTTAGCCCTCTCTTCTTCTGTTCCATCCTGGACACCCACAGCGCGCTCCCTGCCGTGGTGGTCAGAAGAAAGAAGAAGCTCAGGACAGGTATAAGCTCCAGGATCATCGCCACCAGCCCAAACCACGTGTAGTCCCAGGTACGACTGCTAATCTCTTGCTTTCGCTCTTTCCTCGTCAAACCTCGCAGCTTGTACCATCGGTAATGCGAAAGCTTGCCCAGACGAGCCCCAGTGATGAGGAGGTAGGCTGGCACACCAACGTATGGTATAAAGTTGAGCGGGAGAAAGACAATGAGCTCGACAATCTGTATGATGCTCCATGGCTGGTATTCGGCGCGGGAGGTAGGCTTCCCGAGCATCTTGACCGAGTTCGGGGCGTCGGGGAAGATGAGGCGATGGGGAGCGACAAGGTCTGTCAAATTGTGATTGATCAAGGTAGCCTTTGACGCGATAAGATTAGCCCATGAAGCAGCAGAGTCGAGATGAAACACCTACATCAAATACATCGACCCGACACTCGTCCACAAAGAATCCTTCGAACAAGCCTTGGATGATCACCAACCCCTCTCCCAACACCAATACCACAGCGTTGATCCATGCTCCCCAGCCGTGGAAAATGGCGAGGAACGCATACTGTGGCAGAAAGGCGAACGCAAAGAGTATGAAATACACAAGAAACGATATGATGCACAGAGGCAGCAAGCGACTTAGGAAAAGCGGATAAAACTCGGGATGGCGTAAGAAGTACCATATGCCTCGGAGAGGATATGCGGTCGCTCGAAGGGCTCTTGAGATGTAACTCAGAAAGCGAGATTCTTCCACCGGACTGATGAGCGCATGAGCTCTAGAAGAGATCCTGGATGCCACATTTGGTGGCGCTGGCGTCGACATGGTAGAACTGGAGACGGAGTTGGAGGAGGTGAGAAGCTCTCGCGTCAAGCATCGAAGCGCAGAGCTCTGAAGACTTATCGGAATGACGTTGTGTCGTTAAACGCGTGTGATTGGAGGCTTGTGCGCTAGGCTTCCATGTGCCGTAACGGGTATTAGCGGCCATTCCTGGTGTATTATTACCCCGCCAGGACGTCAGCACAAACACATCACTGGAGCAGTAGGTATACCTTCACTGTCATTTGTCCAATGAGGCAAGCAGAAAGAGCGGAGAGAATGACACTTCGCGATTTTGATATGGTAAAGCTTTCACTATCAATAATTACCGAGATATATGTCTTTGCTACAGGAACTTTGCATAGTCTATAAGTACTCTAACCAATCGCCGGCTTCCTTTTCAATGCTGAACGTACTCAGCAGGCTCCAACTCAAGCTTCGCGCAGCTCTCCGGCGCATTGATAGGGTTGCACACAGCAGACTTGCCACCAGGAAATCTCACCGCGTAAGATACATGCCAGCGGTCGCTCATGCCGTAGCTGGGATAGTCAGTCGAGACAATCTGCGCGCCGCTCGAGAAAGCCATCTCGCGCATGGCGGTTGTGTCATTGGAAAGGAGTGTCTCGATCGGGACGTCTGAACGAGTGCGAACCCAATAACCAGCCTTGACCTGCGCTTGAATGTTGCTCTGCTGCTCATCGCCCCTTGGTTCATTCAACTGCTATAGTGTCAGACCGGGCAATGTACCATTCCAGGCACTCTACTTGGGCTCTGCTTACCTTCTGGAAAGCGCAATCGGAGTTGCCGGGTGCAGAGTTGGTGAAAATCACACGGCCCTCTAGATTTGGCTTGTCAAGAGTGTATGCGTCGCGCACGGGGTGAACTGGGCCATTATCCATAAGGAAGAACACTCGACCGCGAGCTGATTCTAGATCCGGCCATCCGTACTTCAAGACGGACTCTTCTAGAGTCATGCCCTCGCGCCGAATGTCATCAGGGGTGACCAACTTATCTTCCCCAAACACTGATCGGATCTCGTCATCGAGACCAGCCAAGAGCTCGGTGTTGTTCCAGGCAATCGGAGTAACACCTCCAAGGTAAGCCATATCGTCGCTAGCCGTCTTGAACTCCATCATGAATGGTATGGGGACGTGCTTCGGGTGCGCGTCGGACCACTCCTTCACAATCTTGAGGCAGCCAATCAAAGTATTGCAGCTGGTGTTGATGTCCGCATCTGAGACATGCAGGACTTTGACACCAGGTTCCTTCCAAGACGACTCAGGCGGAAACGGCAAGCCTGTAAGCTTGCGGATGAGAGGAGTGGCATACTTGCCACCGTCTGGATCCGCGAAAATGTCAAGCCTACATTATTAGACTATTCTTTGAAGGTAAGACTGAAACACACTCACTCTAAATTCCTTATACTCTGATATTCCAGCTGGAGATCTAGGCTTGGGTGGGCATAATAATAATTCTGAACGTTGGGGAGTAGCAGAGCCTGGACAGGCTTTTCCTCCAAGCTTGACTCAACATGGTAACTATTATGAGTGCCGATGACCTGGATCTGGTTCATTCGCAGCTTTGAAGACCACGACAGGCCGTTCTTGGTGTATGAGCCATTGGTGCAAGCTGCTAGAGCAGCCTGAACAAGGACTACGCAGATGTGATTAGCCTCAAGTCTCATGATCGTGTCTGCAGGCAGCAATGTTCCGGATGCCTGTTACACGTACTGCTTGTCCCCAAGATGAATTTTAAGCCCTCCAATTCTGTCAATAAAAAGCATTCTCGGAGAAAGGCATCTTACATACCATTCCGCTTCTAGGTCTCTTCCAGAACTGTGATTAGTAGATGAACCTATAGAACCCGGGGTTTCCCAAACTTTAGTATTCACCACATGCAAACATTATATACACTTCAAGGAACCATTGCCAAGAAAGCGCTCTGAGTATGCTGGATCCACCCAGACTCAAGAAACCATGGCTTTGGGATTATGGAACCTTGCCAAGGCCGGCTTCTGGACTGGCCTTGAGAACATGCAGCCCACGTGGGAGTTCTAAACGTCAATATGTTTAAGCTGCCAAGAACCTCGAATGTAATCCTGATGAACTTCACATCCATCATTGTGGCATACGTTCTCCAATTCTTGAACTGACCCTGAACTTATTTTGAGCTGCCAAGCCGCAAGGTCTCTGCCAAGTCGAGAGCCCCGCCTACGCGAGGGTTCTCGCCTCCAATGAGGCATCTTTCTCGAGCCATGTGTTGAATACCCCTGGATAGTGATGATAAAGTTTCCTTACTGAGCTAACGACTCCTGCGTGATTACTTCCCGCGAGAGGCTTCAGCTTATCGAGGTGCTCGTAGCCCTCAGGTGCGACGTTCGAAGAGCGGCTTCTTCGACTTCTTCCAGGGAGACTGAGTGATCTTGTTAGATTTAATCAAACCTATTTGGACGGAAACCAAACTGAAGTCATAGATCGTCTGTGTTTCATTCATGATTTCAGGTTCTTAGCAAAATTACTAGTATTGCTTCTATGCAATGACCCGACGCAGAGATCTTGCTTGCTTCAGACAAACAAACGATCTGAGATCGAATTTCAAACCTTGCTCTCACATCCATAAAGCGCCACCATTGCAGCTCTCGATTTCCTGCAAAGACAATATTTGCAAGAAACATCCGATACTGTGAAGGCTACACGAAGAGTATCGGGAACAATGTGATCCGAAGTCGTATCTCATAATATCTGACCAGATCATGATGCATTACCCATTTCTCATATACTTATAACTCCTGCCGTGTCGAGTGGATCATGTCCTAAGCTCGTAATCACATGTTTTGGCCATTTTGATCAAAGAAGTTGTTCCAAGGGATTTGGGGTATCTCGACTCCTGGATTTTGAACTTGATTGTCCCATATGGACTTGACCATGGATCAGTTACGCCAATCCAAAGTAACAGAGAGAATCGCTGAACTTACCCAATCGCCATTAAGACTAGGGTCTACTAGGCCTTCAACATTCTCCATCACAGGAAGCTCCGAGGTCCCTTGTAGCGGCAGTGCAGAAGCCCAGTCCGCGAACATCTGGCCGTCTCCTACTAACCCTGTGGCTGCGCCCCATCCTGAGGGTGAAGCACCCGATGAGCCTACATCCGTCGGTGGTGTAGTGAACAAGCCGGATCCCGAAAGGAAAGAACCTACAGCAGAGCCTTGTGCGAGATCAGCGTATAGCCATTTGTATCTAGTAACACGGCCAAGCTTACCTGGTTGTGAACTTCCACGCATAGTTGCCAATACACGCAAGTCTGGGGGCTCCGGAATATTGCCAATCGACTCTGGACTGCTTTCATACTCTGCTCCGGTAGAGAGGCTCAGCATCCGTGTTAGGATCTTGAAAGCTCGGTTAGCTTCTGCTGATTCTTTTCTCGTAATCTGCCATATTGATCTAGATGTTTTCAAGGCCTCCAAAAGTTGCTCCTTTGATACTGTAATTGAAGTCCCACCAGGGGGGTCTACATGGTGTGATGCATGTGATCTATCAGCCTGAAACACTTGGGATAGCTCAAGACAGAGTATCATATCGGCGAGCAGAAAGTCGTGTATACTCAGGCTGGAGATGAACCATCTATCTTTTGAAAGTCGTCCTCCTGGCTGTATTTCCACGTGAATGTCGTATTGATGCTTCAATATCTTTGTGGCAGCGTCGATGCATGTCAGCCTGGAGTATTCGAAGGGCGGGTGAAGCCGAGCAATTGCAAGGTATTTTCTGTGGAGCACGGCTCGGGATTTCTGATAAAGTAGCTCGAGCCAATATCTTTGCATAATAAGATCGATAGGGTCGATAATAGACTGGCTGAAGGATCGCATTCTGAATGCTGGCGGAAAACTGTCGTGAGCAGCTTCCAACTGCTTATCCAACTGCATCACTTGAGAGTAAGGCGTGATGTCTCGGGAGCTTGTGATTCGAAGTATCTCTGCGAAGACTTGCATGAGTCGGAATTTAATAATGCTGTACAAAGCTGGGGTACGCTCTGTTTCCGGTCGCGATGGGGGCAACACCGTTGTGTCTTCATCAAAGTCTTCATCGTAGAGGTTTCGCGGTGGACCTGTATCGTAATATTGCCTCTGTATATTTCCTGGTAGCCCAAACTGGAACGAAACTAGAGCGTCAATCTCCGTCAAAAGAGTCCATTTTCGACGCCGCATCTCGCCTTCAAAAACGGATATCTCTTTGTAGTGTTTTGGATCGCGATGAAGACCCATGTGCATTGCAAGTCGAGTTAAAATAGACAACAGCACCGAGTTACCTAACGCAGCGTCGTTTTGGCGCAAGTACTCACCACCAAAGTACAGAAGCAACGCTTCCACTTTGTACTTGCTGGGTTTCGTGTAGTCATCTAGAGCAAGGCACTGGGCAGCTCGTATTCTGAACGTGTCGGCTATTTGAAGAGGGCTGCCAAGATTCCCTGGAACGTCTTCATCTCCTCGAAGACAAAACAAAGCGGCGTGGCATATCATTGCAAACAACAGGCTCAGATATGAAAGTGATGCCTCCCGCGGGTTCTTCCAGAAATCTTCGTATTGTCGAAGAAATGATGGAACGTGGAATATCATCCATGCTGGCTCCTTTCCAGCGAAAAATCTTGCGATCAGTCGATCTGTGACTAGGCGAGGAGGCAACAAGTTGAGCATATCAGGAGTGCCAGCACTTGGAAAGGAGCCTAGCAACAGGACAGGACCGCGTTGAGCCGAGGAAGGAATCTCGAGACCATAGTCAGCATGCTCGGGATTTTCCTCAAATGTTTTGAGATCATCTGTCAGTCTTGTGATCTGTAAGCCTTAGTTAGTCACGCAAATCATCGAGAATCTCAATTGTCTGTTGTCTACCTCATCGAGAACACCCTCCCAATTAGCTCCGTGGAGGTATCGGACATCATCTACAATGGGACCTGCTGTTTCTTTAAACTGAATGCATGTGGGTTCGTCAACTAGCCCAGGAACAGCATCGTTCGCATCGGGAACGTCTTGGCTGTCCTCCTCGACATCTGGAGCCTTGTCTACGTCTCTCTTCTGAGACTTCAACATTTGGACCAGATGCTCGAGATGCCGTAAGCGTGCTTGCAAGGTCGATTCGTTGACAGGTTGCCTTGAACGTGCCGATACCCGTGCAGGCGACAACCCAGGGGCAGAAGCCACGTCGGATGTCCGTGGATTCACATATGGAATGTACTCGCATGTTGATGTGATGCCTCGCTTTTCGCATTGGTCACAGGGCGAAGATCGATTGCATTTCAGCCTGAGAACCCAACTATTAGCCCAGACCTAAGTGGGATGGGTTGAGAGCTGTACAGCTGGGCCTAGAGGCCCAGCTCCGGAGTTGTCAATCTCCGGAGGCTGGACACGGAGCTTACTTTTTCTCACGGCACGTTGTGCATGAGAAACGTATCCGGTTTCTCTTCTTCTGCTCCACCGACTGTTGGTCTGTTAGCGATCCACCTGATTCCGGTACGGCATCAATCTCCATATCGGTCATCTGGAAGTGGCTGCAGTTCTCGAGATTTCACGGTCTACAATTCTCCCATTGCCGAACGTCCCTCCAAAGTGCACGCGACATCTCAGAAGTGGTGGTCCGCGGTGTTTGCACGTGGAGAAGCGTGTGGTAAGATTGATGTACACTAGTAACTCATTTCTATACATTGGCAAGTAATACACACACAAATTCCACATTAAATGTTTGAACGAGACACTACTTGTTGCAGATAATGCGCTAGTTCAAATGCGCTTAGTCGCAATCGGACACCAGCGAGGCGTGCACAGTGACCGGGATTGCCCGGATTTATACGGATTTATAGAATCCAAGATCGAGGATGTTGGTAGGAGCTTGCCAAAGTCGTTGGTAGCATTATCGAATAGCTTCTCTTTACTGTAGAAGTTGAGCATCGTCAGCAACAGCGTTTTATATGATATTCATCTTCGGCGGGCACAAATCCCCGAAAGAGTTCCTTGAGTGTTGAGACTCACGGGTTGAGAATCCGTGATGCTACCTTCAATGTGTTATATTCAATTGTTCCTGGATGTGCAAATTGAGCACCAATGTCCGCCAACCAACAGTATAGACAAACGCTTTGAGAATGCATGTTTCATGCTTCAAGACCAATTCTAAAGACAAATACTGTCGTTTCCATTAATGGTCAAGTGAGTTGAGTATTCTATATTCTCTTGACTTGTCTAGAAGATGGCTTGCGACGTTGATTGACTAAGAACGTAAGACTTGACATGGCACTTCTCTATGCCAAATGTATATAATCTCGCTTTTGAACCTAGCATTCTGCCCGCTAATATCGGAACTCCCAGGCTACTATGCAGTATATTCTATACATATCACGGGGTGGCGCTTGGACCATATCTTCTGTGAATACCTCCGTCTTGCCGGTCTCCCCGGCCTCCCCGTCCTAGCGCGGGCGCCATCTCCAGCCACTCATCGGCGGACAAGATGTAGTCCCGATACTCCTAAGTCGGTAAAAAAGACCTGTTTGGATGAACGCGTGGATTCAGAGGCCTCGGCGTCATCGGTCGCTCTGCACCACGGCACGCGATGGCAGCTTTAAGTATTGCAAGCCCCCAGCATGGGACAGTCCGAAATGACGCCTCTACTGTTTTCTATGGGGGAGTTTTGCCTATAATCAGGAGGCGCATTCAAGATGGGTTCCGTCAAGAAGCCAAACTTCCTTGTTATCGTAGCCGATGACCTAGGCTTCAGCGATACGGGCCCATTTGGCTCTGAAATCAAGACCCCGGCCTTGGACAGGATCGCCAAGGAAGGGGTACGGTTGACAAACTTCCATACAGCGTCTGCATGCTCACCCACAAGGTCAATGTTGTTCTCGGGGAGCGATAATCACATTGCAGGCCTCGGCCAGATGGCAGAACATATGGGAAATCGAGAGCTATTCAAGGACAAGCCAGGCTACGAGGGTTATTTGAACTTTCGTGTTGCAGCATTATCTGAGATTTTGCAGGATGCTGGTTATTTTACCTTGATATCCGGAAAATGGTAAATCTGCTCGCTTTGTTCCTAAAGCGACTGGCATGGGCTAATCATGTGTTATATAGGCACTTGGGTGCAGCAAAAGAGCACGCGCCTTGTTCAAGAGGCTTTGATAAAGGCTTCGTATACCTACCCGGCAGCGGCAACCACTATAATTACGAACCTCAATTCAAAGAGGGCCAGCCGAGACCGTCTTTGGCTGTCGCAGACCCCAAGACATTTTGGATGAGGGACGGAGTGTATCTCGACCGCCGTACAGAGCTACCTACCGATTTCTACTCGACAAAAACCTTCACCGATGAACTTCTTTCATATCTTAGTAATCGCACCTCCGAAGAGAAGGACAAGCCGTTCTTCTCGTACCTAGCATATACAGCGCCTCACTGGCCTCTACAAGCGCCGAAGGAAGTGATAGAAAAGTATAAAGGGGTTTATGACGAGGGACCGGCAGCCTTGAGACTCAAGCGACTTGCTAGGCTTATTGAGCTTGGTCTTGTACCGAAAGATGTCGAGCCGGCGCCAATGGTCGGTCTTCTTGACCCTGAGTGGAAAACCTTGACTCCAGAAGAGCGAGCTCTGTCAGCACGAAAGATGGAAACATTTGCGGCTATGGTTGATGTTGTCGATCAAAATATCCAGCGAGTCTTGGACTACCTTGAGTCATCGGGCGAGCTAGATAATACCTTCATTCTGTTCATGTCCGACAATGGTGCTGAGGGCACGTTGCTCGAGGCTTTACCAATGCTCGGAGGGGTCACTAGTCTTGGTGCCCTAATCGAGACACACTACAATAATGAGCTAGGAAACATTGGTAACAAGGATTCTTTCACGTGGTATGGCGGATCATGGGCTTGCGCCTCGATGGCACCGTCGCGAGGCTTCAAGACATGGATAACCGAGGGCGGTATTCGTTGCCCTTGTCTGGTTCGTTACCCACGTATGTCTGCGACCCCAGGCTCTTACACGAATACCTTCACGACAGTGATGGATGTTGTGCCCACTCTCTTGGACCTGGCTGGGGTAACTCACCCATATCCTCTTTTCAGGGGAAGATCTGTAGTACCAGTGCGTGGCCGTTCGTGGGTTCCACACTTGGACGCATCGACCGACCTTACAACTGCTCCCAGTGTACATGATGAGAATACCGCGGTCACAGGCTGGGAGCTGTTTGGCCTGCGAGCTATCCGAGAAGGAAAATGGAAAGCTATCTATATGGCATCACCTCGGGGTAACGAGCAGTGGGAGTTGTACGATATGGAGGCAGATCCAGGCGAGATTCACGACAAGGCACTAGAGGAGCCCGACGTCTTGAAAAGACTAGTGCAGCACTGGAACGTGTACTATAATGAAGTAGGCATGTTTGACCCTGATGTGACTTATCACGTCGTCAAGGATAAGCGGATTACTTGATTATAGAAGTGAACAAATTGTATATAGTAAAGGTTAATAGCACAATTTGCTGTGAAGCTTTGGGCCAGACTATGATCAGAAATCACTACACGAATATTTTGATTTCACCAGCGCGGGCTCATGGCAGGATGTCTTTCTTACTGCCGCGACTGGAAGTGGCAGTATTCCTGCATGTTCGGACTTCACTAGTAGCTCATTCAAGGTCTATCGACGCAGTGTAGACAATAAAATGACTGAAATTGATGATTATAATTTTTAACAGACTTGCGTGTCTTGCAATACCTGCTGGTTCAGCCATATTGGTCTATCTAATCTCTGGAGTACGTACCACCTAAATGAGTAATTGTGTATCCATATTTGCTCTGCTCAGCCTTCAACTAGTTCGATTTTTGTACCGTGAGACTTACTTCCATTTTCAATATCACCATCGGCGACATGGTGGGTGAAAAGCTTCGCGTCTTTGAACTTGAGCACTGGGACACCATCTAAGAAGAGCCGGTCAATCTCCTCGAGCGTCTTGCCTTTGCACTCCGGCACGCAGAACCAAGCGAACACTGTGGCCAAGACCGCAGCTCCACCATAGATAAAACCTACTTTAGCTCCCAGATTTGCGTATGGCGCGTTGAGGAGATATGGTGTTGCGAAAGTGGTGACGAACTGAATGATGATGTTGACTGTAGATGCTGTTCTGTACGTCATGTCGCGAAGACGTGTGGATGGAACCTCAGCGGTCAAGATATGAGATACTGGTGCCCATCCAGAGGCAAACCCAAAGCCAAAGATAGTTAGCATGGAGATAATGCCAATTTTGTAGGATCTGGGCGGTTTATCAGAGCTAGCGCCCAAGCCACCCATGACGAAAAGAGAAGCAATCTGTATGAAGCCGCCCATGAAGAGCATTTTGCTAGTTTTCACGTTAGTTGAAGGAGATGACAAGGTCAATGATGCATGACTTACCGCCTGCCCATCCGATCAACCAACGCCATCGACAACACCACAGCCATCATGCTGACCAATTGATTCACGACAGTCATGATGAACGGGTCAACACTACCGAGCGATTTTATATAAACAGTTCCATATTTGTTCGCGAATGTATTGCCCGTGAGTTGAAGGAAGAAATTAACACCACAGGTGATTAATGTCCGCTTTAAGTTGGTGCCTTTCCAAAGATCAAAGAAAGATCCTTTTTCTTTCTCTTCATCAAGAATAGCTTTTGTGGCGTCGAGCTCCAATTTGATATCATCATCAGTAAAGCTTCCGGTGCGGAATCTTCGAAGGGCGATTTCTGCTTCCTCGTTTCGCCCTTTGAGAAGGAGCCACCTGGGAGACTGTCAAGCGGTTAGAGAGTGTTCTTGGCTTGTGTAAATGTTTCTTACCTCTGGAATGAACCATATCCCTGCAGCTACCAGTGTTGGGATAACAAAGAATAAGCCGAAGGGAATTTGCCACTGTTTGTTGCCATCGAGCGTGGAGGTCCCATAGCAAATTAGGCTCATTATCAAACCACCAAACTACAAGGAGGTTATTATGTACCGTCGAGTTTGGGCATTATCCTTGACTAGGGGGAATGTATCACTTACAAACAGCATCAATTGATAGGTTTCCACTACTAAGCCTCTCACCTGCTTCGGGACAATCTCCGCTTGGAAGACGGGCACAACTGCGAGCTCCATACCAACGTATCCGTCTACGCAGAAGTCTCGTTAGACTAGGTCTCTCTCAAGAGGGAGTAATAGCACGAGCGACTTACAGTTTAGGATTCTTGCAGCAAGAATTTGGGCCTGATTTCGCGAGGAAAATGTGATAGCTGCTGTGCAGAGAGCATATACGCTCATCGTGAACATCACCATTCTCCTGCCGTATCGAGAACTAATCTCACTCCCAATAAGAAGACCTATTGACCGCATCAGAACCTTATTTGCACCTTATGCTTAGTTAGCCATACCGAGTACGAAGCCGATATATGGCAAGCTGTTCAGGTAGGCCAGGAAGTTCGTCTCAATCTCATATTGGCCTTTGGAGTTAAGGGAGCCAAATTGCTTTTCGAAAGCATCCATTGCCTGGGTTGTTGAATACGCGGTCTGATCGAAGCCGAAGTTGAATTGAGATATAGCAATGAGACCAACAGACAAGAACAAAGTCTTATTGAAGAGACGTGGAATTGATGCCAGCTGTTCCTTTGTCCCAGCCATCGTGAAACGCGATGTTTCGTAGAGTAAGCCAGAATCGGGATTATTTGATGGCTTCTTGATGAAACGAGAGAGGGCAATATCACCAAAGATTCATTGCCTGCAACGCGCAAGGCTATTACTACCTTGATATAGGCACTCAGGTTGGGGACAAGACCCCAATTACACGATCGAGGCCAGCTATGGCCTCATCCACGCCAACTCCTCGCGGTCTTCTGTGGGGTGGACCCCGTGGGGAGGGACTGTAAGCGGACGACCAGTTATTTCTTGAGCATATCACATTCTTCAGACTTGTCCTGGATCTGCGGGTGCTGCTATGATTTGGCTAGTGGTCATGGTGGGGACGGCTCATGGGATAGTTGCGCTAGCAGGCCGCTAAAGAGCCCATTGACAACCTCACTCCGTGTCCTCCCCGACATTGCCGACACGTGATCATCATCCCCGTTTTTAAACAAGCAGATCTTACTTGACTCTAGCAATGTAGGCGGTTCTGCCATCTTTATCAAGTACCCTGGGCATCAGTATAGAAGTGACATAAGAAAATTGACTGGAAACCTCCCCGTCTCCCCGGCCTTATCTCCCCGAGTTCCCAACCTGATCAATCGACCAACTTGGGGATGTGAATATGCCATCTGACACTTCTACACGCGGCACACGGATCAGACCAGAAGGCCGAGCTCAGGGAGTAGGGGACAATGTCAGCGAGCTCATGAGTTCTGTCCCTAACCCCACCTCACCTAAGGAACTACTAGTACGACAGGCTGGTGACTTGAATATTCGTATAAACAACAACAGCATATCACCGCGGTTTCAAGAGGGAGGAAGACTTCGACCTCGTCACCGGAGGCGTGCTGTGACCGCTTGTCAACTATGCCGCATCCGCAAAACGAAGTGCGATAATGGTCGACCATCATGCGGTTACTGTCTTTTCCAAGGAGCGCAATGCATCTACACGGACAAGATTTCCAGTCTAAATACAACTTCTCCGCTTTCCCTTCCTGAAGAATCAGCAAGCCAAAGCGAGGTGTCGAATGCAGTCCTACTAGAGCACATTAGGCATCTTACGAACCTAGTGGAGGAGATTCATAGCGACCCGACGCTCCGCACTCAACACGAGCTCCAGCCTACATATCCAGGCAATTACTTGCCTCCCTCCACCGAGCCTCTCAAAGGAGTTGATCAGACAATAGATGATGAAGCAGGTCCAATTTCCGGTAGTGCATTCACAGCTGATGGGTTCGGAAAGCTGGAGGTGACTGAGCTAGCAGCCCGCACGAGTTCATGCGAATCAATACTGAGATGGCCAAGTCTTCACTCTGATGGACAGTTTGAAGACATAACCTCATTTGCACTCCAATCGACACTAAACACCGAACTACCTGTTGAGTCTGTGTTGGCGAATGCACGATTTGCAATTCAGGAGGACAAGATCTGGCCACTGTGCAGGAAATTCTTGGTGTTGATACATGTGAAGAATCCAATACTCGAGGTCGCAGAGTTCAAGCGGTATGCAAGAGAGGCTGCCGAATGCGGTCCGAGTTGGGACGGTCGAGGTTGTCTTGTGGTTAGTACGGTGCTCTTACCTAGGACCGAATTTCGCTGACAGGTTGGATATCTAGTTGCTCGCATGCGCTCTAGCATGTCTAGCAACTCCATATGACCCAACTCAAAGCCAAGATATACGTGAAGACATCAACAATCCAGTGGATCGATCTTGTAGTGATGACTATTTCGCGGCGGCTATGCGTCGGTTGAGTTTGCTGCCTACTTCGCTGATTTCGATACAATGTCAGTACTTTGCCGGGCTATATTTGAAGTTCTCGATCAAACCATTCTCCGCTTGGACGTTACTCCAGCAAGCCTGTGTCCGAATCCAATCATATCTGTACGCCAAAGCTCTTTCTGTGCCATTTGCTGGCGATGAAACTAAGACGACACGTCACATCGAGCAAAGACTATACTGGTCTTGTGTAAAGGCAGAATGGTGAGCTGGATATGCCCTCTTCTGTTCATTTTGTACAAAGTCATTAACAAGTGCCCCCGTAGTGAACTAAGAGCAGAATTACAGTTACCAGCATCTGGCCTTTTGCAGTTCAAATATCCTGACCTCTTCCCCTCACTGTCCTTTCCCCCGACATCCGACAATCTCGATTTCGCTGATGGCTTTGCTGGATCAGCGGGACAAAGCCCAGCAAATCAAATTGGGGACACATCAGTGGCATATGGCTATCTCCAACCTGAAGAAGAAAGAAGTTGGCTCTATTACTTGGCTGAGATATCACTTCGAAAGTTGATGAATAGAATCCTGGAAGGACTTTATAGTGACGGAGAGGGCTATTGGCTGACGAACGTCACAAGCTTATTATCGCAGCACGCCGTGTTTTACGAGGAACTCACTCTCTGGTAAATATCTTGGATTTAGCATTGACTTGATCTGGCATGCTGACGGACTTTCCAGGAGAGCCCATTTGCCGAAGCAGATACAATTCTCTGACACAGAAATGCCGTCAAACGAGTTAGCCTTCTTTTTGAAGACTCGATTCCTGGTCTGCCTCGAGTGGATATCGAGACCCTTTCTTTTCTATGCAACTTCACAGCCTGCTACAGATCCTGTGATCACGAAGATCCTGCCATTAGCTCAACAATGCCTTGATGCGTGCATGTCGCTGATTGAAATCATTTCTTGTCACCATCGCCATGGAGGAATATGGGGGCTTCTTCGGAAATCCTTCAGTGCTGCTGTGTTATTGATGGTGGGAGGGAAAAGGAGTGCTATTCTCAAACTCCCGAAAGACTGGCCTACTTGGGTGAGCCTTTCTATCACCACAATAAACGTTTGGGAGAGCGGAGCCTCCGACCTAGTGTGGATGAGGCAGACCTTGGAAAGGCTGTCACAAAATGATGGGGTGAGATTGACTTAGTATGCCTTCTTTAATGAATCATGTCAGCAAGAAATGACCAGGCGTCCATCGTGAGGACAAATCCGGGTGGTGCATAAGCGTCTGCAATCTAAGAAGCAGCCAAAAGGTCAATCAATTGGCTGCATGAACTGTGGCGGGGTGGTCCGACGGCTGATCGACGACATCACGGAGCCAAGACAGCCACCTGCCGGACCTAGCACGGTTCTGGAAGCTAAACAGTGGCCGAGAGGTTGCATCACGGGACATGCTTCTCGGCATACAAAGATAACGCACCCTGGTCATCGGCACCTGCCTGATCCCGGACACTCTGCCGTCTGGTGTCGTGCAGCGGCAGCACACACCTTTATAAAGATGGGATTGAACATCGCTGACTGGGTCTTATTTTGCACGCAACTGCCGATTAAGGAATGCGGTCAAGCCAGTGAGCTCAGGATACGATTCATAGTGGAAAACTAGAAACCCGGTAAAATATTGCCAAGAACTATCATATTATAAGAATGTGTTCATAGCGCACTTTGAACGGTGTATATACTTTGTCTGGCAGTGATTAGAAAACTTGAAGAGTTGACGATCTGACTTCCTAAACTATTCCTTGCAATGCGCCTCCCGTTATATCTTGTGCCTTTTTTGGCAAGTTCACAGCTCGGTCTTGCGGCTCCTGTCGTAGGACAGGAGAATGTGGATACTTCTTTGAGATTAATCAAGACATCAGAGACTGATCCAGGAACCTGGGTCACAGAAGAAGAGAAACTCACAGATTACGTTGCCAAAGGAATTGGTTTCATTGACATAACCGACATCACTGTGAGCGAAACCCATGACGGACAAGAGCGTAGCGCTGATTCAAAGACAAGGACGATGAAGTTCTGGAGCAGCTTTCTTCCTCTTCTGAACAGGACTCGCTAGCTGCTCGAGCAGTAACTTATCCCACGACGTTATCGCATCAATCCGAGGCAAGCCCGTTGATATCCAGCATATCTACGGCCAATCAACAAAGTTGGTTGAAGACACTGACGGAGTGAGTCTTGCTTGAATAGCATACCGACAAGTTGCTGAAACAGTGCTTTCAGCTTTTATAATCGATACTATCGAAGCACGTATGGTACCGAGGCTGGGACTTGGCTCTTCAACCAAGTCAAGAGTGCTGCTTCGTCGAACTCTGCCATTACAGTTACGCAATTCACCCATTCGTTCAACCAGCCATCCATTATTGCCAAAATTCCCGGAACTACTACGAATCTTGTCATCGTGAGCGCACACTTCGATTCGACAGGAGGCTCGTCAACAGCACGCGGTCCAGGTGCCGATGACAATGGCTCGGGCGTAGTTGTGATTCTTGAGGCTCTGAGAGTATTGGCGACTTCTGGCTTCAAACCGAAGGACACGCTCGAATTTCACTTCTACGCCGGTGAAGAGGGCGGAATGCTAGGATCACAGGCTGTCTTTGCCAACTATAAATCAGCAGGGAAGACAATTCTTGCGGTAATGAATCAGGACATGGCAGGGTATTCCCCCAGTGGGAAGATCTCGGTATACACGGATTATGTCGATAGCTCGCTCACTGCATATGTACGGCTGGTGGCTACACAATACAGTGGAACCTCAACTACGAGTGATGCGTGTGGTTATGGGTGCTCAGATCACGTTTCAGCAAGATCAAATGGATTTCGTAAGTTGACCCATATTCAAAATGTGCGAAAACATGTCTAATCGGCCGTGCAGCTGCATCGTACGTGTGTGACGAGGTTATGAGCACTTCGGATCCGTATATTCACAGCTCCGCTGATGTAAGTTCCCTCAGGATGATGCCATCCACACTGCAAAAACCATGGCTAATCTCTTATAGTCGTACTCTACCATCATGTGGGATGCAGTATTAAGACATACCAAGTTCACAGTTGGATATCTTGTTGAGGCATCATATCTATAATTATTTCACCTTGTTACATGACAGTAAATATCAGTTGATTGCTTTAAGACTTGAGTCTCGTCCTATCAACCGACTATTGACTTCTAGGGCCATGTCCTGTGAGTGAAGCCATCGTAAACATCTCCAGCTTGTCTGCTTCATTTCTTTGTAATACTGGACCTTTCAAGTCTGCGACAAGACGCCTGAGAGCCTATGCTATACGTAAACGAAGTAGAGAGCATACCATAGACTCCTGTGGGGAACGCGCTAGGTCCCCTGTTTTTTAAGAGCTCTCGGAAACCTCGGTGCATATCAAGAGTTGTTTAAGGCGAATTAGCGGCTCAACCTTGCTAGACTCGGGCGGCAAGCTAAATGAATTCCCAACACTCATAGTCGTGTATGGTATACATGGTTGAATTCAAGGGATCGCAGTTCGCCGAGGTCCCTCGTTCATTCTTCAAGGTCATCTCCCGGATCTCGCTGAGTCGGCCAATCGGACGGGCGTATTGACGATAGTTAGATCTCTAAGCACATGGCACATGCGATTCGTTGATAGGCATTTATTGTTCCAGCGGACTAAGGCCCTGTTCGCGGCTGGACTGGCTTGGCATGGCCGCCCACCTGTCAAAAGCGGTTTGGGTCCTCCGGCACCGTTACAACGTGCCCAGAGCTTCGGCGTCTGAAAGGCCAGGTTGATCAGGCACATTCAGCCCCTGTGGCGATCCGGTCTAGCTGAAAGTTGCACCGACCTGCCCTGCTTGTGCAAACAGATTTCATAGCAAGATGCGATTTAAATACCACTGCATGCCAAGTCAGTCAATCCTACGCAATGTGATGCACTCGAATGTCATCGCGGCTCTCAATTTCACTACGGCTGTGCTGCGATGAAGTCAATCGCTATCCTTGGTGTCACTGCGGCACTGCAGCTGTTCGTCAACGCCGTAACCATCGCCGAGATCAATGGTAACAAGTTTCTCTCGCCTTACGCCGGCCAAACCTTGACCAACGTTACTGGACTAGTGACTGCGAAGGGTCCGAGTGGCGTATGGATCAGGTCGACCACGCCGGATGATGATGTCCGCACTTCCGAGTCTATCTACGTCTACAGTAGCAGTGTCGGTGCCAGCCTCTCGGTCGGCGACATCATTTCTCTCGATGCTAAGGTGAGCGAATATAGGTCAGCGACGACCTATATTTACCTCACTGAATTGGGATCTCCCAAGAATGTTAAGGTCTTGTCAAGTGGAAACACTGTGAATCCCTTGGTAATTGGTGTTGATACTTTGAATCCGCCAACTGTGCAATACACCAGTCTGGATGGAGGAGATGTGTACGCATTGCCCAATGCAGCAGCCAACATCTCAACTGTTAACCCCGTGCTGGCACCCGAAACGTATGGTTTAGACTTTTGGGAGAGTCTCAGCGGCGAATTAGTGACAGTCAAACAGCCGACAGTTATTGGGAGACCGAATTCATATGGGGACACTTGGGTTGTTGGTGACTGGCCAGTCACTGGCCGTAGTGCACATGGCAGTCTCACAATGTCTGACAAAGGTTTGCGATCTCTCATGCCTCAAGGTATCAGAATAAACCTGCTCATTCGTATCCAGACTCAAATCCTGAAGCCATCATAATCGGTGACCCGCTGGATGGCTCCTCCAACCCTAAAGACACCAAGATTGGAGACCAACTTGAAGAGTTTAGCGGTATTGTTACCTACACTTTTGGTTTCTACTACATTCTACCTCTCACGAGCCTCAAGCCTACAACACTGGCATCCGCAGCTGCTCCATCCACGACACTTGAGAGTCAGAGAAACTGCCGAGCTATCACCGTTGGCGATTACAATGTAGAAAACATGTCGCCAACTTCAACCCACATACCCAAGGTTGCAGCACACATCGTAAACTATCTAAACACTCCAGATATTATGTTCATTCAAGAAATTCAGGATAACGACGGGGAGACGGATGATGCGGTTGTGGATGCGAATGTGACGCTCGCCACGCTGACGGCAGCAATTGCATCCCTCAGCAATGTCACCTACTCATTCGTCGACATTGACCCTGTAAATGACCAGGATGGCGGTGCACCTGGTGGTAACATCCGCCAAGCGTATCTCTACCGTTCCGAGGTGGTCAGTCTGTGGAAACCGAACCCTGGCTCAAGCACCGATGCCAACGAAGTGCTTCCAGGTCCGGAATTGAAGTATAACCCTGGACGAATCGCCCCCTCCGATTCGGCGTGGAACGCCAGTAGGAAACCTCTGGCTGCTATGTGGGAGGCCAAAGGAGCAAAGAAGCCATTCTTTACAGTAAACGTTCACTGGTCGTCAAAGGGAGGAAGCACGAGCTTGCATGGAGACGTTAGGCCGCCGGTGAACGGCGTGGTCGCCAACCGACTCAGACAGGCCGAGCTGACTGGGGTGAGTCAACATTTTCCTCATTTTCTTGCTGCTGGCGATGTCACGTGTACAATAGATGCTAATTGAAACAGGATTTCATCGGGCAAATTCTTGCAGCGGACTCTGCTGCACGTGTTATCGCAGCTGGTGACTTTAACGAGTTTGTGTTTGTGGAGCCCATGGAGGTATTCTCTGCGAAATCAGGTCTCAAGGATCTTGACGATGTCGTGGGGATTCCTGCTGAGGAGAGGTATACATACACGTACGACATGAACACACAAGCATTGGATCATATGTATGTGAGCCCAGCGCTGGAGAGCAAAGCTGGTTATGAGCATATCCACGTCAACTCCTGGGCAAAGTATGCTGACGTTGTCTCGGACCACGATCCGAGTGTGGCAAGGTTGAACGTTTGTGGATGTGCATAATTGTAGAGATACAAGCAGATATTTCGTGTGTCCGATAGCAAAATGCAAATACTTGATTCTAGGGGCAACCAATACTTACCATGCTACTTTGTCATGACCGGTGTAAACAACCGTAAGGCTATCTCACATAGTCCTCTTATCTGTCTTGTCGATCTCTTCAACTCTCACATGGCGAAAAACCAATCGCAATCATGGCGTGCCATTGATCAGAAGCTTCATCCACGGTCTTTTGCTTGCGTTTGACGATTCATGTTCGACGTCAGCGGCTACCGTTCATGCTGATATAGTAGAATTACTGTTTGTTCTAGTGTAACTAATGATTTCGTTTTCTTTCAGGAATGGGTGTTAATCCTATTTTTAATGTCAATATGCCGAGTTTGCAATACCACATGGGCGTCACGGTGACCTCTCAGACGGCAAGGTGCATCACAAAATACTCCCCCATCCGGACGAATTCTGTCACCGTTGCCAACTCAGTGTTTGCGGATCCACAGCGTGTTCAATGTTATGAAAATTATATAAGTCAAAATAATAAACACTTGGAGGAATTTGACCAACTATCGTGTTTCTTTGCAGATTATTTGCAGATTAGCGGACCAGAACATTAAAAAAATGCCAAAGCTCAGCAAAGCAAGGCCCACGATTGGTTTAGAGATTGAGTTCCTCATTCCTTGGAAACTTGGCGACAGCTCAAACAGCCAGTGATTGAGGAAGGCGTGGTTCGCGTGCCTGTCGGCGATGGCTATCGATTACATCAAATGAAATGATAAGGGCGAGAATGCAGGTTGATGGAGGCATCCGAGCATCTCTCAAAGCCGCAGGCAACAAAGCTGGAACGGTTGAACCTACAGATGATGCCCCTAGTATTGCCACACAACTATGGAACGACAACTGGATCGTGAAAAGAGATACATCAGTGCACGAAGATGATTTAGAGGAGTATGATGGCTATGTTGACGTAGAAGTCAACTCACCCATCTATAATGCACCTCCAGATGACGATAAAGACGCTCGAAAATGGAAGCGGGTTACACGAATTATGCAGAAAATACAGGCAGATTGGCCGAGCAATCGTATCAATAAGACTTGTGCCTACCAGGTCCATGTCGGACTACCAACAATGTACAGTCTTCTAGATGTCAAGAGATTGGCTACCATGCTGTGGCTGGCTGAGAGGAGACTTCTTCAGCTATACGGCCCTCATCATCGAGAAGAGTCGGGATGGTACAAACCATTGTCCAAGCAGAGCAGGCTCGCACTTGCGAACCCCATCGAGCAATCCAGCCCCAATCCTGGCGAACGGTACAACCAGAGTACTCTTGATAAAAAGCGCCGAGAAGATTACATGGCAGGAAATTACCACACCGGTACGAGCAAAGATGAATATGAGACCTGCATTGGGGCAGGAAGCTTTGGAGATCGTGTTTTGGAAATCGACCCGTTTGAAACTTTGAATTAGCAGAGTGACGCTACATCGTCCACGTATACTTTCAAGAAATCCAAGCTTGAAAATAAAATGATTGATCTCTGGAAGGCCGAGGAGGGCGAGCAAATTCGCTACATGCTGGCACCCAAAATCACACCAGGCACCGGCACCAGACTAGGATATAACTTCAACAATATATTTAGCATTAAAGGCACCATCGAATTTCGCCAGATGGAATCAACCCTAGATCCCGTGCGTTTTCAAAATTGGGCTATAGTATGCTATAAACTGGTGTTATTTGCAAGGGACTGTAATGTGCAAAAGTTTAGACTTCTGCTGCTCTGTCTGCTGAAAGACATCGAGCAGTATGGCATTTGGGATCTGCTCGAGGATCTCAAATGTCAAGTAAGTGTTGTTGAGTGGTTCAAGCAGAGACGCAGACATGCAATAAGCTAAATATTCCTCAAGTCATACCTTTAAAAGAACGATGTTTAAAGATTGATTATTGAAGCATCCTATCCATGTATTTGTCAACATGTGGTTTGGTAACATACTGAGATTCTCGTCGCTGTTTTGGTAGTTTAGTCACTTAACGAATTGTGATCAAACACTCAACAAGTTTCCAGTGACCCGCCAACCTTGGGTAACAAAATCTATACAGCTTTTGAACCTCGCCAGGTTGTGTGCGAGAGACCGATGTCATAATTTGGAAGGACCTACAATGTTGGTAGTAAAGCGCCTGCTATTAATACTCATTGCACATGGCTCACCTCTGTCGAGATTGTTATTTATCTCGCAGAAAGGATTTCTCCAGAACCTTCCTCTATTTCTTGGCTGCTCTCAATGGCGTTTCTCAGATAGTATACATCCAACACCATTTGACAGAGGCATACCCTCACAAACTCATCAAGTCGGCTTCAGACAAGATTTTCTGCTTCTTCGCGCGGCTGAAACATACCTGGACAGACTCCTCGCGTACAAATTTCCGTCTCACATCATTTCTGCCTCCCATCTATCCACTCACCTTTACTGTTGTGCCACGCTCTTTCCCTCTTTCATCCTAATGAAGTAGAGCCTCCGTCTGCCTCACTTTTACGGTGACAGCCGCATTTGGGATCGCCTGCGGCACATGTTTTACTTGGCATAGCTGGCGAGATCACTTCACCGTTCATTCAAAAAGCCGCATTGTCGTTCTGTAGAAGATCTGAGATACAAGCGGACACCCTGACTTGGACAGCCGCGCAGCAAGACTGTGGCAAAGCAAGGGAGATCGTTTATCATGGTGAGTTCAGTTCTCGGACCCTAAACAGTAATATGCTTATAAATGACATCTATCTAGTCACACACAAACAAAGGCAGTCCTCTGCTGGAGGACTTTTCCGAGTCGATCTACAATGCCGAGGCATCTGAGAGCTCCTGTTTCACGGTAATCCATCCTGAAGACCAGAGAAAATGGGCTCAGTATCTAGGTAAGTACTGATCACACTACAAGTGGTGAAGTAGCTTGGAAAGGCTTGATGAAGTTGCTGATCACGATATGCAGAGTCGCACCATCAGATCAAGTGTGTGACATTCTACGGAGACGAGAATCTCGACCTCACCATTATTGCAAGTGGTTATGTTCGATCAGAGCGTTACTGCCGATACTCGGATGAGCAAGATCGTGAAGAGGACAAACAAGCGTTCGTCATCTCCATGGAACGTCTGGCAGGAATTTCGAGCCATTGGGAGCTTCTTTTGAACGGCCTCGTCGGAGTCGTAGACACCGGCGGCATTCAGATCATCAGCCTGCCCGTGGTATCAGCTGAGGTTTTCTCCATAATTCTATCCGTGGCTCATGAATTATACGATGATGTGCCCGAGGAGCTTGAGTTAGGTGCTCTCACTTTGTTAGCGAAGGCGAGTATCCAGTACTCGCTTTTGACAGTCTTGCGCCCTTGGGTCGGCAACTGGCTGGCTTGCCTTGGAGTTAGACAGGGCTACCTCCCAAGAGATTCCGACGAGCAGATGGACTTCGTCACCATATACCGCTGGATTTGGGTCGCGTATGCCTTTGGCCTTCCTGATGTGATGTCTGCCATGACGTTTAAAATGGCCTACACCACCCAATGGATTGGACGTCCCATCACATTGCCACCCACCATTTACGGTACGTTCTTAGCTGGGGCTTTTCTATCATGAGTGTGACAGTTTCTGACCGGTTTGCCACAGACAACGTTCATCGGATCCGGGCGAAATATTTGGCACACGCCACTCGCCAAGTGTACGAATACCACAACCAGGTCAAAGGGCTACTTGGTGTCATGAATCGCTCTGCAATACCTTGCGAGGTTTGTAGCAGTGGTTCGCCTCTGTGCGTGAAGGGTCAACATGATATCCTAGTAGCCTGGTTCAAGGCGTCAAGGCTATCTTTGTACAAATTCAATGATGACGTTGCTGGCAAAGTCTTGCCTGCCGCCCCGACTCACCTTCTCAATTTCCGCAATCTCGTTCCTTCCGGAATGAGAGCTGGCCATCTATGCAAGTCTACACGACGAAAGGGTTGTGGACTCTGGGATGTGGCTAAGACATTCCCTTACCCGGGGGAAGAACACTTGCATTTGGCCCAGTACATGGCCAATGCAGGACATGAGATCCCGACTCTGAAGCCAGAGCAGGTTGCACGAATGACTCGTAATCGTGCTATCCTCGAGAGAAGATGATGGAGAATGATTTCAGCAAATGTTTTCGGTGGCTATGAATGCGGGATTGCAATGTTGAACGTTAGCAGATGTGCAAGCGATCACTGAGGGCGATGTCAGAGTCTATTCTGAAATGCATCTCTGACGTATGAGAGTTAAGCAAAGACTGAAATTACTACAAATTTGTCTTCCCAGGTTATCTCATTTGGACTCGATAGGTAGCCGAAAAGGATTGTCACTTTCCGTTCACCAATCTATTGATAGGAAAGCTGTTGGTAGGGAAGCCGGTAAGGCACTCTCCAGCAATTGTCATCATGGCAGAATCAAAGCAAATGTATTTCTCTTTTTTGATGCTCTGGAGAACCTTGCTCGAAATTGAAAGCTACTGTAGCTCACCTTGCTTTTCGGTGCTGACGGTTCAGACTGACCCATGTTAACCACCTCTCCCGCTTTGGATTTTATGCAGCTCGCGAATTCTCTAATAAGTTCCTGATATCGCTTCCACCATCCTAACGCTGCTAGATCTTGTTTGTAGCGATGATTTTCCGCTGATTCTCCATGTATTTGATGTGGTCTTCCGTTGCTGGTCGGGCTTTGTCACCAGCGCAAAGGCTCCAGACACTGTGGTGCAAGTACCCACCCGTGCCTCCGCGATCGAGAAACTCTGCAAGCACGCCAAGTCTGCATTTCATTCTGCCTTCTGGTTCGCACACGCCATCAGTGTCGAGAGAATCCGCTACGCAGATTTGCAGTGGCGAGATGTCCGCTAACTTGGCAGCTTCTTCGAGCTGCACAGGCACGAGAGGTAGGAGCCGCTCAGAAAACCATTCTTCGAGTGCCTTGATTTGAAAAGTGAGACATTTCCTGAGTTTCTTTCGACAGATTCGACTAGACACCTCCCCTCCTTTTGCTTTGGCATCCCGCAAGTCTTTGAGACAAGCCCAAGGTTGTTTCATTGCCTCTAAAATGTAAGCGGATCTGCAGGCATAGACTCTCTCTAGATATCCATCAGCTCTATTCCGAAATCATCGAATTGCTCACCTACCATGCAATCCTAGTGGAAGACTTTTGCTGCTTGGGATAAGAGTGGAGCTGATGAATGAGAGTTGGAAGCATGTTTTGAGAAAGAGCTGCTCCAATCCAAATTCATAGGCAATCCATATTTTCTCGACTTCCTGATGATAGTTGTATGGGTCTTCCTCAGAAAGATCTTCCTCCTCGTCTAGCAAGTCCTTGGTCCATTCGGCTATCCAAGACCTGATGAGATGCAGCCCTTTATATGTGTAACTAAGCTTCGCAAGTTCAGCAACGTCGTGTAGTTGGAGCTGCATGTCGTCTACAAGGGCTCGCTTTCCATGAGCGATGGCCGAAAATACCATAACAAGCCGTGAAATTCCCGGACGAAACTCTCTCACCAGAATGGTATCATTGGCATTCGTAAGCTGAGATGTCTTCGAACCAAGTGACCTCCAAGCTGGAAATTTGCTATCGAGGCATTGTTTCGAGACAAGATATGCGGTCTTGACATCGCGCATGAAGAACCATTCAGGACTCGAGGATTGGGCTCCTTGGATTAGGAGAACACAATCAGGGTTCAAAGAGTGTATCGCAATCTCTGTCACGTCGTGCTTCAACCCTAGACATTTTGTTAGCAGTCGTGGATGATTGTAGATGTTAAAGGGAGCTAGTTACTTAAATCGGGCTCCCAGACTGTGTTTGATGTTTCCCCTGACTCATCGTTATTGTTCACAATAGGTGTGTCACTCCCATCCTGCGCGCTTTCCTCGTCAGACCTATCAGAGTCGTCATGGCCTTCGTCAACGACCACGCATGGGCTCGGTTCTTTCGAAGTGCCAGGCATTGATGATTCCGAGGGTTCGATTGAATTTTCGCCCTCTTCCTCATCTTCCATATCCTCATCTTCTGCGTCCTGTTCATTATCGCTGCCATCCGAGTACTCTGATCCGAGACTTGTATAGTCATCATCGTCCTGAGACTCATCTTCCATAAGATTGAATGACCCTAGACAGTTTTTCGCCGAATAATGTCTGAGACGACTCATGTTGGTAGGCGGATAAGGGTTTGGGAAGCTGTAAATGCAGGAGCCGTGAACAGGAATTATTTTCGAAGATCTAAATTCTCGTTTAGGTGAAGGTGAGATTTAAATGCGGATAGGATTAGCTTCAATACTTACCAAGATAGAATGAATTATCAAGAAAGGAAAGAAACACCAGGTAGATGGTGTTGAAGCCAAATGGAAATCAAAGTTGCTTTAGGAAAAAGAATCTTTTTCGGCGGATTCCAGAGCTTGAACTATTTCGTATGACCCAAAATCACAAATTGGGGAACTCAAACCTGGTAGGTGATGCCTTTGATGCACTCGATGAAAGGTGAGTACTTGCAATGGCATTGTTTCTAGGAGTGGAAGCAGCGCTTGCTAGATCAGGGTTCCAGAAACTTTAGCAATGGTGAAGGCATGCTGTGTAGATACCCGCTGTCTTGATCTTAACGCATCACAAAAGTATCTACCAGAGAATCGACCCCGGGCTAGGAAATTTGATGATACGCACAAGCTCCTGCTTTCAAAGTATTTCTAGAACTCCTCTCCCACAAGGAGGCCACTATCCCTGCGCAATTCCAAGGCAACAGCAATATGATCAAATACTAGCCTTAATCTGCCTTGTTGGATCAAGAATCCATTTGAATTTGTTGCCTCGATCTTGGTAAACAGACTAGCAAAGAATATTGTCAACTTGAAAAGAATGAGCTCCTGTTGATTGAAAGTCATGGGTACCACGATGTGACTCTCAAGCCCACTACAAGCATCTGTAAGAAGGTGTTTTTCTGGTGCAGATGTGTTTCGTATCGCTCAGATTCACGGCCTACGCGTAATGCATGATTTTCTCTGCCTCTCATCGCTTCACTTGCGCCAAAGGCGATACCAGGCCGACTATTTCCTCACCATCGAGGCGGGAACCCATTCCATGCACTAGGCATAAACCTTGGGCTAAATAACAAATGCAACTGCCCATAATACTTTTCAAAGTTTTTGCTGCTCTGGCCGTCTCGTCCCATATCAGACTACTATGCGGCGAGTCTACCGTAATTGTACTCAATAGCTACACAATTCGCACATCAGGCTCTGTTGTCTTGGAAGTGCCATGGCACAAACAATGGATTATTAAGTGACGCGCAAGACAATTGGTGTCTATCTGCAACGCATGTCCCTGGACTTTGCATCAAGAACAATGAGCGTTATGCCAACATTGTGATACAAAACATCGAGGTTAAATTTCTGATGCACAAACATATCAGCAGCAGGCTCGATAGCGATTCAATCAGGTAGTCAGCATTGGAGACCCTAGGCGGCTTTGCTGTATCGGAACGTAGACTTGATAGATGCAATCGCTCGCTCAATCCTTTTCTGAGAACGGACGGGTATGTGATTGGGGCCATTGATGGCGAACAGTATCCTGGCGAGCTCGTAGGCAGTCCCGAGAGCAGCATTCATCACGGAGAAGATATTGTAGGCATACGTTAGAGCGCGGTCGACGGTGCTTAGCCATGCTGAATTATAATGGTGTTGTCAAACCTTCCCTACTTGATCTAGGAGATCGCTCTCAGGGAACTGAAGCTTAAGAGGAACGGACCTGCCAAAAAGTGGGCACAGGTACGAATCTTGATTTGAGACGTGCATGAATATACCCCTCAAGAAAGCACGGGGCTTTATTGTGACTTGTTCGCGTAGTGGTGCCCTTGATGGTTCTTGATATTGAGTGTCCAACTTAGCGGCTATGAGTAAACCGATGGATACTCGAGTGTCCGGTACCTCAAGACTGATATCACTATGTTTGGGTACCCATAGCTTTAGCACACAATTGATTATAAAGAAACACATTTTCATGCAAATCTCGGTATACTTCAAGGTACTTATAGGTGCCAAAGAGCAATTTGTGAATTTTGTATTGAGCGATTGGAGCCTGTGGTCGCTGGAAACAGATTCGGGAGGGGCGCCGGACACGGATCCGAGCGAGCGATTGGCTGCATGACACCGCTCGGAATCCGGGAGATGTGGTCATTTCGTAAATACCGCCAGAGCTACGGCAAAGTGAGCTGACCTCATCATCATCTGGGCTATCAAAACCATCCTATACGAAATGAAGGGACTTACTCTCGACATGCTGTGATCTTGGCAGTCTTGAGAGGCGAGAGCAGTGGAGCAAATCCCCCCACCTTTGTGGTTTCTGGGGACTGCTCCAACTTGGTGTTGACAACGACCGGCTCGTATGCGTATGCCCAGATCGCTTATCTCTGGGCACGATAAGAGCATGAGCGCAGATCCAATCCAATTTGTGCTGACGGCGGTCTATGCTACTACGTAAAGCCATCACGAAGGTTTACTCCTCGAAAGCGGGTCATTTCTCCCGATACATAGAGGTCACGGCGCGCTCCGATGCGACCGCCCAGCCCAAATATTAAACATGCGGTAGCTGCTACCTGGAGAGCCTACTGGGCTCCCTCAATCTTTATTTGAGCTCCCAGGCCACTCCCAGTCGCTCATCAAGGGTATTGGACACGATGCAGCTCAAATACCGGAAACCACACCTCAAGGTCGACCAGCCAAAGTCGCTGTTTGCCGAGGGCAACGCGCGATGGTGAGTGAGGCATTGTTCCTCTGCGAGTCATTGTACCACTTTATGCGGAAGACTGATGTTGTTCATCCCAGGACAAACAGAGATCTTGATCCCGTTCCTCCACACGCTCGAAAATGGGGAGTCACCAGCTTCATCGCATATTGGATCTCGGATGCGTTCAATGCTGCTACCTGGCAATTTGGCGCAGGTGTCATTGCTGTTGGACTGACCTGGCGTGAGAGTGTTGGAATTGTCGCGCTTAGCTTCTTCATCATCTCCATCGTAGTAAGTATCACAAATGGGAAGAACGACGGATTCAATCGCTGAAATAATATTCTACTCAGATCGCCCTGAACGGTGCCATTGGCGTCCTCCATCATACACCTTTCCCTGTCATCGCTCGAGCATCATGGGGTTTCTGGGGCTCTTACGTCGCTATCATCTCCCGAGCCATCCTCGCTGTCTTCTGGTTCGCAATCCAGACCATGAACGGGGCTTTCACAGTACGATGTATGATAGGTGCGATATGGCCATCATTCCTCACTCTGCCCTCCAACATTCCCGCCTCACAGGGCATCGATGACGCGACTCTCGGCTGCTTCGTCATCTTCTGGTTCTTTCAGATACCATTCCTCCTCATGCACCCTAATCAGCTCCGATGGCTGTTTATGGTCAAGTCGACTGTCGTCCCGGCTGCCTGGCTCGCGATCATGATCTGGGCATTAGCGAGCACTCGCAACGACAACATCTTCGACCAGAAGCCACAAGTCTCCGGATCAGCATATAGCTGGGCATTCCTATCGAGCATGACGTCTGTCATAGGTAACTACGCGACACTGAGCGTGAACCAGAGTGACTTCAGCCGCTACTCACGCGTCTCCGTGAAGTGGCAGTGCATATATGTGCCGATGCTGCCTATCTTCTTCACATTCATCGCGTTCATAGGGATCGCCTCGGCGTCTGCAGGAGGCGCGCACTACGGCGTCATAGAGTGGGATCCGATCGCGCTCATCAGCCACTGGAGCAACCGGCCGGCGCGATTCTTCGCTGCATTGAGTTTTGCGCTGGCGGCCCTGGGCGTCAATATTAGCGCAAACTCACTCTCTGCTGCGAATGACCTCATGGCTCTGTTCCCTCGGTTCGTCAACATCCGCCGCGGCCAAGTATTGTGCGCCATCCTGTGCTGGGCACTGGTCCCCTGGAAGATCCTCGAGAGCGCCGGGTCCTTCCTCAATTTCATGTCCGCTTATGCCATCTTCCTCGGCCCAATCGCAGCTATTATGCTGTTCGATTTCTACGTTGTGCATAAGCGTCGATACGATACGGTTGCGATGTACGATCCGAAAGGCATCTATAGATATACTGGTGGGGTGAATTGGCGGGCCATTGTGGCATTCCTGGTTGGTGTTGCGCCTAGCATGCCCGGCTTCATCAATGGCATCAACCCGAAAATAGACGTCGGTGTCGGGATACATCCGTACCAGTTTGGATGGCTCCTGGGCTTCTTCGGGACGGCACTAGTGTACACGGCCCTGTCACTGCTCATACCAGCTCGAGAGACATTCATAGGTAGAGCAGTAAGACCAGATGAGATATATGCGGCCCAGGGGTATGTCGAGGGAGAGCCGGTTGATAGTGGGAGTGGAGATGGTGAGCGGGGCGTGCCGGAGAAAAAAACCATCAGCTCTAGGTTTGAGAGGTTTCTTTGATCACTGATAACTAGACACGGGAGGTTGGAGACAAATTATTGCTGTAGAAAGGGTTGCATAAGCCATCATCGAGGGATCACTCATCATGCATCTTTCTCAGTGATCTTAATTCTAAGACATGATTTCTAACGGCGTGACTCGACAATAAGGGGACCGACTCTTATATATAATGTTTTTGACGTCTAATTTATGCGCACAATACAGGCGACGATTCAGGCTAATCTCTTTGTAGTTGAGTCCTCATAGCGTTACTATGCCATGATCAAGTCCAACGAAGTCGGAGATTCCGGATGTTCCCATGGTGTTCAAGCATCTAACAGCTTTTCTGGCCGTTGCTTGTGAAATTTCCCGCTTGATACGCGCCATCTGCATCTCCCAAGCACTCCGCTACCGTGACGAGCTTGAGATTGTTGGTATTCGCCCAGTTGATCAGCCATGGTACCAGCTGATTGACTGTTGTGTCATATGTCTCATGCATCAACGGAATATGGCCATTGCCTCCGGCACCGGCCTGAGTGAATTTCGCCTCGCTTGCCTGTACAGATTCATGGTTCCAGTCACCTGCGTCAATGTCGTCTGTAATGACTTTATAATTCAGCGACTTCAATGTCGGCAAGACGCTGCCGCCTGTCGCGAGGTACGGTGGACGCATGTACAGTGGCTTCTTGCCGAAGATGTTGACGAAGGCTTGTTCGACCTTTTGGATCTCTGTAGTCAGTTGGGAGGCTGACAGCGAGCCGAAGTTCTGCGGGTGAGTCCATGTATGGGAGGCAATTTGATGTCCACTGTCATAAGCGTTCTTTACTGCAGTTGCTTGGTTGTAAATGCAGCCTAGTAATGTTGTCAATGTGACTGTTCTCAAGTCAATCTGTACTCGGAAAGCGTACCATAGAGCGTTCCCGTGAAGAAGAACGTTCCCTTTGCATTAGCCTTATTCAGGATGTCCACCAGTTTCTGCGTGTATTGGTATGGACCATCGTCAAATGCCAATGCCAAAACACCAGGCTGAGAGCATTTGGTAATGACACTGCCAGGAGATGGTGCCCTTTTGAACAGGTCCGGTGGTGACAACGCAGGGTAGGCGTTGGCACTCAAAGCGAAGAGCAGTGAGCTTACTATTGACCCCGTTCTCATTTTGACGAGTGCTTGTAGCCCGATTCGCACGTGGCACGTACAATGTGCCAGAGACTTTTGTGTATCTTGTCATGATCGTGGAGGGTCAAGATATCCAGACATATATAAGAGCTAGAGAACCGTTTGCCCGGTCTAGGCTATTGTCATGGTTCCTTCGCTGGACCCATACTACGGAGCGAAGTGCAATTTGGGACAGATCACGAACAGTGTTTCGAACGCGTTGCCTTATATTGATTACCTCCCGAGCGTAGTGTGGCGAGCCCATTAACCCGGCTCGGCATGAGGGGCTCCTGGCCAGGATACGGCTCGATTGAGGCTCGGGTGGGTTAAAAGACGGCACATCTTTAGCCGCCGGGACTCTCCATGTGCTAGCTCGTTTCAGTGACTATCTACAATAAGACTCCGCAGCTATTATCGACACACTGAATTCATTTTGAAACGACAGGTAAAAAAAAGGATAGGGGCGATCTTCTTTACAGTGTGGGATCTTTGAATTTGATCGCAATCAGGAGGGCAATTGGTCTATTGAATGATCTATTCTTCGCATGCTATCATGTCTCGGGATCGTTATAGCTTCCAAACATTTTTCTCTATTGTAAGCTTATCAACCAATTTCATCAACATGTCCCAGATGAGAAGCGCGATGTCCGTGCAAGGATAGTCGCCGTATTCGACATCAAAGTTCATTGAAGGCCTGGACAAGAGCTAGTAATTGCACCATCTCGGGCGATATTACTGAGTCAAAAAGCTGAAGATCGAAATCAGTCTCAGTTTGGCATGATTTGCTCCCATGCCATTCAGTCGCGTCTACAGTGGGCGAGATGAGACGTGCAATATGAACGGTTAGACTGGTATCCCAACCCCTTCCACATCGGCAGACTTTGGCAACCACCTCATGTGCTTTCTGTCGAACGACCAGCTCTTGGCTGCACATTGATGCGACAACCAGCGAACAAAAAGCTCCAAGGAAGAAAAAAAGACCGACACCGTTTGGCCGAGGAACAGGAGCCGACCCAGGAGGCTCTTTTGAGAATTTGTCATTGAAGAGTCGATGCAGCGGGCAAGCCAGTTGGGCATCACTCCAGCCTGATATATTTGATTTTCTTTGCGATCGTAGAGAAGATTCGTACTCATCAAATAAGACCTCCCCGAGGTTTAGTACATGTGCAAAGTCAGTGTCCGTATTTGCGTCTTCTCCAGCTAGATCTCTGCAGATCATGGTGATACGCAGTTTGAGGAAAACACTGCAGATTGCAAGTACGTATGAGTCGCATGTATGCAAAGCTGAGACACTATGGCTCAGATATTGGTTGAATGCAAGAATCCACTGTTCCACATTCTGGAGCTCTTGAACCAATGACTTGTGAAAACAGTCGTGGCTCTCTCCTGGAGGGGAACTTGGCGAAGCTGGATCTCTGCTCGAAACAGTCCATATCTGTAGCTCATTAAATACTCGTTCCACGATCTTAGCAAGGCAAACTCGAGCATCGTTGAGGTTTGCAAAATGGTTCGAATTGTCCCCGCTTGCGATAGGTAATCCCGAGAGCCGTTTGCAGTTGGCCGATTTGAAGTCGGTAATTTGACACGATAACCGCACGAATAGAGATTGGAATGTTGACTCTGAGGCATACGAGGTATTGTCGATGGTTTTATTTTCCTTTGCCTCCTGGAAAAGCTTGTAGCCGGACTGTAAATGGCTGAGGGCCGAGCTATGATGACCATGTATTGTTTCGAGGCAAACGAATAGAATACATGTGAGTAAAGATATCGAAATATTGCTTTCGATGGGAACGCGCTGTCGTGATAGGAGTGTGCGGATTGACCTTCCGTAGTGCTCCATGGCTGCCAATCTTCGGTTCGTGTCAGACTCGCCGCTCAAGTTATGACGCTCTTGCAGAACTCCAATTGCAACCATGGCGTGTCTAATTGCAGGCTCGCGAAGTACATCTGACTGCTGGAATGGAAGAATGAGTTGGGGTGGAAAGCATGCTTTGGTCCATAAGTAAAAGTTGTTGAGTGCATATTCTTCTTGTTCAGCGCCTAACACTTTCACCAAGGCTGAGTTGGCAGATAACATATCCGGTACGTAATACGTTATCTTGAAAGGTCTTGGTCTCCTTTCTAGGGTAGACGAATTGGTATATCCACCGCAATGGCGTTCCGCCGTTATACATCTCTCGCAATACGGTTTTTTCTCGTCACATTTTACCCGTCGCGCTCTTCGGTTTTGCGACAGTCAGAGACTTGGCGTTTCCCAAGTACGGGAGAATTAGGTTCAAAAAGGACTTACTTGCAAGTTTTACATCCCGTCCGAGTTCTAACCGTTGTCATGCGGCTTCTTCTAGTGTGGATAGTTGTTTGCATTGTGCTTTCAGAGGAGCATATAATACCGCGGGCGGTGAAGGATGGGCTAAATGGAACATGATATGTAGGATGTACGAGCAAAACGCCTATATCAGAATGAAGTCAAAGGATTGGCATGGAGGGTAAGCATGACCAGTAAGTAGGTTTACAAAGAGGTTGTCACAGTCAAGGTAAATGTTAAGATGACGAGTCATTGACGATAAAACCCCAGTCCATTTCTTCGGCCGAACGCGCTTATTAATCAAGTAAGAGGGTGGATCACTCACCATCTTTTAGACTGTTCTCCACAATTTCGTCCCTCGAATTAACTTACCAAACAGATCATCTGTACACTGCACCTTTTTGAACTGATATACAGGAGACAATCAAGGAAGGGTTGTGTGTATCGAACGTTAAATTTTGATCTTACAAGTTAGCGGGTCACGTATAATAGGGCAGGATACTATGAGAGCTAGTACCTAGCAGCTAACATTGAACTCATCGAGTGTATTTGACGACTACCTCAAATAACTTTGGTAATCATTTTACCTTTATTAGCTCCGTCAAACAGTCGAAGCCATGTTTGAGGAATGTCCTCGAACCTTGACTCAAAGATGGATTCCGTCTCATCGTTGACAATGATTTGGCCATCCTGACAGGCTTTCAATAGGATTTCTACAACGTCACCTGCTTTATGCATGTATTCCGCCACATTAAATCCGAGTATTTGTAGGCGCATCAGAACGACCTCCTATAAGAGAGGTCAATCTATTAACCAAAGAATACATAAGCATCTAATAACTTACCACGTAATTTTTCAGCCCATTTGGATCGCGGTTGTTATTATAATTAGCAGTAGCTCCACTAATGTGTGAACCCATATGTCAGTTATCAGCTTCCTTGACAAATCAAGTCAAGCTGACCTACCAAGCTGCAACACGACCATGAGCCTTAAGGCGCGTGAGCATCAAATCTAGAATATGGCCGCCGACGTTGTCTAAGCCTCAAGTTAGCGCCTGTGTGATATATGTATGCCTTGCCTGGGATGCCAATAGTTTGACTGACCAAAGTACACATCAACAAAGCCTTCTGTTTCCCGGAACAGGTCTTGTTCAAATGATGGGCTACGGTAATTCAGGCATACCGTCGCGCCTAATTTCTCAACATAACGGCATTTTTCATCTGTTCCGGCTATGCCAATCACCTATTTATATTGAAGCTCAGCTTATCAAAAACCACGCATTATCTTATCGTAGGCTTTATGCCTTCTCTGGAAGGGAATTACCTTCTTGCACCCTATTAGCTTCTTCGCTATCTGCACCGCCATCGTACCGACAGCTCCAGCTGCGCCACTGATGACGATGGAATCATTTGGTGTTGCTTTGACAACATCACATAAGCCGCAGTACGCCGTTAAACCCGCAAGGCCCAAAGAGCCCATGAATTGTGTTATACTCAAGCCAGGAGCTGAAAGCGGGATGGGGTAAATGTCTTTTTGATCCATGATAACATGTTCACTCCAGCTCATTCTGCCATAGACTAGTGTCCCTGGCAGAAAACTGGAAATCCGTGACTCAATGACATGGGCGATACCAAGGGCGGTAATAGGTTCCCCAACGTTGATTAGGGGAGCATAAGATCTGTGAGGGTCCGCATCGGCTGCGATCCAGGTGCGCTGGGCAGGGTCATTCGAGAAATATAGCGGCTTCACAAGGAGCTGCTCGTTCGAGATGCTTGGCAATTCGTGTGTCACCAATTGAAATGTTGGCTTGTCACCGTCAAGAACTGGGAGGTCGTATGGCTTGTTTAGCAAGATCCATTGTCGTGTTTGAGAGGGGTCAGCCATTTGATGGGACCAGACACATCGATCGTAGGGAAAGTCAAGAAAAAAGAAAATCGTTGACGGATATTTATTCCCAGTTTATTAGGCGCTGCCAGGTACGTTTTATATTATAGAGTTTGGTGAATGCATGCCTCAACTTTCACCCGTTCTTGCCTAGTGCTTCCAAGTTTCTTTCTTGGCGATTGCCACTAATTAATGATACCAATCGAATCCAATGGTGATTTCCTCATCAGGTTACATCCATACGAGATAGTTGAATTTGTCATCAAATGGCAAGTCCCCTTCAAAAGACGATATAGTTTCATGTCTGAAGATGTAGACCATCGTCAGTAAGGGTACCATGCTTGTGTCATGGGTGTCTGAAAGTAGGCTAGCTGCATCCTTGGTCCGTCATATCCCCACTAGTTGCCGTTCTTGACCCACAGCTCGTATGGATCTAACTTAAACGAGAAATCGTGTATCACGGGAATCCTCAACTTGTCAGTGGACAGTCTATGGACTTAGAGAGGTCTTGACTGATATTTAAGTTAGGATCCATCGGCACAGATTTTGTTTTGTCAGAAAGAACTTTTCTGAACACTACTTTTCTCGTTTCCTGTGCACTACCTTTCTCGGTAGAGGGAATACATGACATGGCGCCTAAAACGGCACTTATAACCGGTGCAAACGGCTACATCGGTGACGCTGTGGCTCGCGCATTCGTCCGTGCCGGCTGGGTTGCTTACGGTCTGGTCCGTTCTGAGTCTGCAGCTGCGTCTCTAGCAGTGGAGGAGATTCTTCCTGTTGTGGGCAGCATCGACGATATCTCTTCGCATACAGCCATCCGTGATCAGCTTCCAAAGACGCTTGACGCCATCGTATCGACCACAGAGGATTGGACGGATTACATGTCCCACTATAACAATACCCTTCGTCTGATCCAGGTCTTGTCCGAAACCAGTACGACTAACGGTGTTAAACCTCTGGCCATCTTCTCCTCTGGTTGCAAGGACTATGGCGTAGGGCCGCACTTTGACGGGGAGCCTGGGCTTACACCTCACACGGAAGAAAGCCCACTCAACCCGCCAAATATTCTCAAGGCCCGAACAGACGGCGCTCTGAAGTTTCTCAACCAAACTAGAATCTACTCGCCTGTAGTCGTTCGACCAACAAACGTGTACGGGAGATCCGCTAGCTACTACAGAGGTTTTTTTGAGGCTGCAGCGGGTTGCGCCGCCTCAAAGAAACCGCTGCTGCTGCCAGTGGCTCCTAATTCAATCTGTCATGCTCTGCATGTCGATGACTGTGGTGACGCATATGTCGCCATTGCGGGACATTCCCAAAGGGAGAAAGTCGAAGGGCAGATATTCAACATCTCCTCACGGCGATATGAGACCGTAGATGAGATTGCCAAGGCCCTGGTCGATGAATATGGCATCTCTGCCGGACTGAAATATGTTGACGCAAAGGAATTGGCGCCTGCTGATGGCCCATGGCCACCAGCTTTGATTGATTTCCCGCAATGGACAGGTTCGGAGAAACTGCGTCAATTAACCGGTTGGAGTGACATTAGACCCTTATTTTCAGAGACGTTGCATGTTTACCGAGTGGCTTATGAAGCAGCCTCGGCATCAGGTCACAAGGGTGTGGAAAAGATAAAAAGTCGAGTCGAGTACTTCAAGAGCGCAATGGGGAATTAGAATATGTTAGTCAAAGTTCGGTATCGTCTCGAAACAAATTATCTATTGTCTAGGAAGTTTTCAAATTAAACACCCATCAACATACTCACACTCAACACCGCTAATTCAGGGTCTTGAATACTGGTTGAGGATTGTGGCTTAATGTGGAATTGATTGTGTGAATAGAGTTGACGAAGCCTCAGTAGTTTGGGGATGATCTCGGGTTTCGACTCCACCAGTCGCCATCAATATGTCGTAATTTCGAAATAAGCTTACTTGCCCGAGGTCTTCCAGAGCTTAAGATAGATGGTGCTGTACATTGGACGGAGAGTATGAGGGTCATCTTGCCCGTCAGACGGGACAACCCCACGTTCGGCTTTCGGCCCCCCTGACGCCACAGCGAGTGCTAGCATGGAACAACTGCACGATGCACCGCGTTTCGCGTTAACACCAAAGTGTGGATGAGCATTGTCATCTACGCCCTTCCTGATAAGAACTGAAGCCCAACCTCCTGCGTATCGTGCTGGCCACAACTAGGAAATGAGAGGGACACAAGGACTTTGCAGCTTCTGGTTAGTAACACACGCCAAGCGTTCTTCTGAAAGAGGCGTTCGCCGCAAGATTTAGGGGCCGAGGCGCTACATTATTGGAGTCTGCCAACAACATGCGCGTCTTCACACTTACCCTCACATCCAATTGTTCACTTCCCCTGTGGTCGCGAATTACTGGCGCACAACCCGCAAGTTCCGTCATTACTCTTTGTTCAAGACGAGAAAGACTGCAAAGTAACGGCACATCTCAACGCTTTCACACGGCAACACCATTAAAGATGAAGGTCGAGTGTCAATGCGGCAGCGTCGCCTTCGACACCCCGCAGTCGGCCCCGCTGTCCGTGTATCACTGCCACTGCACCGAATGCCAGAAGCAATCATCGTCGGCCTTCGGGACCTCAGCAATCTTCCCAGCGGACGCGGTGTTCCCGCTCTCCAAGGAGCTGCAGTCCAGGCTCAATGTGTGGACGCGTCCGGCCAAGGAGAACCGCACCATGGACTGCTATTTCTGCAAGGAGTGCGGCGTGCGCATTTTCCACCGCATCAGGGAGGCCGACGGCACCGAGCGACCCACCGTCAGTGTCAAGGGCGGCCTCGTGGACGGGCTGGACTGGAGCAAGGCGAAGCACATATACACCAGGAGCGCGGTTGTGCCGATCCCTGCGGGCGCCGAGCGGTGGGAGGCTACTCCCGAAGTCATGGAAGGGAGAAACACCAAGCAGTAACGCCGAAGACGGGACATGCACATCCTCGTGTCGCAGTAAGTCGTCGGGAATCAATCATTATTGTATATGAGAAGCAAATCCTGAGCATAGCATCAGCCCCATCAAGCGATCGCAATGGTCTTTCTATGAAGCTTGGAGCTTAAAATGTATTATGAATTTCCATTCGTTATCATAAGACTTGCTTCAATTCTACAGTAAACCCAAGCAATACCGACTCCCTGCCACTTTCTTCCGATGTCATTACTCGTCAGCAATCTTCAAGACCGCCTTGCCAAAGTTGTCACCCTTGAGAATACCAATCAAGCCCTCCGCCGCACGGTCAATGCCCTCCGTGGTGTGGATCTTGGCCTTGAACGTCCCATCCGCCAACCATGCCTGCACCTTCTGCTGGTGGTCCTTCGCGTACGGGGGCCCGATCTCGCCGACGAGGAAGCCCTCGCCCTTGAGCCTCTTTGAGATGAAGTTGAACAGCCCCTTGACGCCGAACCGCTTCTCGGCGGGGGTGTTGTAGTCTGAGATGAGGCCGCAGAAGATGATGCGTCCGTGGATGTTCATGGCGGTCAGCGCGGCCTCCAAGTGCTCGCCGCCGACGTTCTCGAAATAGATGTCGACGCCGTCGGGAGCCAGCCGCGGCAGGGCGTCGCTCGGCTTCTCCTTCTTGTAGTTGAAGCCGCCGTCGAAGCCGAGCTCCTTGGTCAGGAAGTCGAGCTTCTCGTCCGAGCCCACGGATCCAATGACCTTCAGGCCCTCGTGCTTTGCCAACTGGCCGACGACCTGACCGACGGCACCAGCTGCGGAGCTGATGAAGATTGTCTCTCCCCTCTTGGGCTCGCCGATCTTGTAGAAGGCCGAGAAGGCTGTGAGGCCTGGCATGCCCAGCGGGCCAAGGAAGTAGCTCAGCTCGAGGTTGTTGGGGTTGTTGATCTTGCGCACGCGGGGAGCAAAGCTGTTGGGGATGACAGAGTACTCGGCGATGGCGCCGAACGCGACGACGAGGTCTCCCTCCTTGAAGTCGCTGTGGTCGGACTTGATGACCTTGCCGATGGTGTCATTGAGGATGGGCTCGTCGAGGTTGAAAGGCGGCGAGTAGGACTTGACGCTGGGGTCTCGCATCCGTCCTCTCAGATACGGGTCAAAGGACGCCGACAGCACCTTCACCACGAGGCCACCTGCTGGAGCTGGCGCATCGAGGTCGATTGGGCGGTCCTCGATGACGAGGTGCTCCCCCGCAACGGGCAGCCCGGTGGGCACCTTCTTGTAGATGAGGTTTTTGTTGCTGGTGGTAGGCATCTTGATCAAGGAAGGTATTTCGAGGGATGATACTGAAGATATTTTAATTCACCAGACCCAAATGACGACAGTGAAGCGGGGGATGTGTTTTATATTTCAAACTTGAAGGTGAGGCGATTAACTAGTCGTCGTTAGGGTCGAATGCTGCAAGATGCCGAGGTAGGTCTCAGTCCCCAAGGGACCCCATCCCAGTTTCGGTGGAGTATTAGCGGAGGCTTCCCGCGTGTCCATCACGCAATTCGCAGTTCGGAATCGAGAAGAAACGGTGGCGTGTGGGCTGGCGACATGCTTGATGATTAATACACCTTGAAGACTCCGACTTTGCACCAATCTCTGCCAGAGTTGTTAGTGCCCGTCCCCGCTGGAAAAAATCAAGCCTTTCTAGCTTAAGACCGATGAGCTCGCATTTTTGCCTCGGTGCATCGGGTGCAATTCGAGTTCATCTCGACGGCGATGCACAATGCCTAGGCAAAAAAGAGTGAGATCTACCTACCGCGATGTAGCTGAATAATTCGGAAGCTTACCAACCTCAATCTTCCACGCAATCGATCGCCGAGGCACGCATCCCGGCTAGGGCTTTTCCAACTATTTTGGGTTGATTGATTGGGCCACTTTTTAAGAATCTGACGCTGCATGCAATTGAACCAGGCCCTCGGACTCAACCCTTATGCCTAATGATCCTACCGATTCCCCTAGTCTAAATGTTTAGCCCGCCGGCACAGCTATTAGTGGCCCTTTTCCGCGATCTCTAGCCTAGTTCAGGTCTGCGCCGGCTGTCATTCCCACGTGGAGAGTTGAAGGGTTAGTAGATCGGTCTTGGTCGAAGAGCGTAATATCGTGTCGAACAGTTCCATCATTCTCTTGAACAGTTGCAAGCTCGATCACTGCCAAATTGCGCCTGGGGCTTCCTGGTTTCTAACGGCTTTAGCCCAAGCCTTAGCGGTGCGACCAAGCTTACCATCGTCAGCAACACGCCGCATTCAGAAACTCCGCCTGATACAAACCACCCACAGCCATGATCCTTCCATCTGATTGTCCAATTGTGCCGCGCGATATCAAGAAGGGCATTGCGTACACTTTGAGCCTTAATAAGCATCGAGCCCTAGTTGTATTAAAAATCAGTTCAATTGCCTGTGTGAAGTCCGAAATATGCGATCCAACCTTGTAGCAAAGTCCGACGTCAGCCAAACAAGCTTATTCGGCAGAGAGGTGTAGTAAGCATTGATTGCACCCTCGCTCGTCGGCGTTAAGAAGCCATCCAATCGCACAAGTGCTAAGCAGGCTTTCCCAGGGTCGATAACATTGTAAGATTGAGTTGATCAACAAACCACGAAGAGAGAACTTCAACATTTGTAGCTCGAAACTAGCACATAGCTGAATATGCGTGTCGGAACGTCTCGGTTGCAATCTGGCCAAAATAGTAGTAGTAGCCTATCAACTGCGTTTTATCCAATCAAAAGAGGCGAACTTGCTGCTTTCCGATTTTGTGCTTACGGGGTCACAACATCTTTGTCATGATCACCTGCCAGAGTGCGCCCTTTCCACAGAAAACACCTGACATTCAAGTTATGTTCGAGCCGGCAACGACTTTCCACAACTCAACCTCGAAAGCCAAATGATCTAATGAAAGCAACTGCTCTAGAGGAGGATTCGCGAAAGCGAAAACCGCATACCAAGAGTCGAGGGGGTTGTCAAATATGCAAGGCACGCCGGGTTAAGTGTGACCAACGACAGCCGGCATGGTAAGTGAATACTCGGAGTAACTACCTATCCCGGACTCACTGTGCATTGCAGCTCAGCTTGCCTCATTCGCGGGTACACATGCATATACATCGTGCCCGGAGTGGTCACCAAAACTCCCACCGTCAAGGCTCATGTTACTAAGCCAACACGGCTCGTTCAGATCCTCCCTGCAACGCCCTCTGACCCATTTGACTGTCTGCCAATTGAGATGAGGAATAAATCGCACCAGATGCTATACCACTGTACGTTATGTATCCCCACTTTATAATGTACTGTTCCGCACAGTCCTTGACAATTGAGATGAGATAGACATGCAGCATAGGTCATCTCTCCGGTCTACAATCCCCTGGGACCCGAACTCTCCCGTGTAAGTGCGAGTGATTGTTCATTTTAGTAGTCGGTCGCGACCATTTCACTCACTTAGAGACAGAATCGGGCTTCACATGATCCCACTATGGTTTCGCTGCGGCATCACCTTGGCTGGATTCCATTACCAACTCTGCGGTGGCTCCGACAGAGACATGAGAGAGACTTATTATGGCCACAAGGTCGAACTCATAAGAGGATTGCATGATGAAATCCACGGCTCAGGTGGGCGACCCGCCCCGTGGATTGCCACTGTCGTGTCTGTCATGGCATACCTAGAGGTCAGTCTGATTCAGCCTCGAAGCCCTAGGTCGTAATAGAGCCTGACATCTACAAGCAAAGCGAGGGGAACTACGAAGCTGGAGGACTTCACAGCCGTGGTGTTTTTGATATTCTTAGTGAACATACACCATCCGCTGACATGTCATCCGATGTCTTCTCTAGCCTCGTCTTGAGGATCACGCTGATGTAAGCATGCCTTCGGCTCCCTCGTCTGCGTTTCTACCCATTATACTCACTCATTATTTCATAGCGGTCTTAGTTTCATCACAGCCGCAAGGCGCTGCATTGACGACGCCATTGATTTTCATGGGTACCCCCACATCCCCAAAACCAGAGCGGCCTGGGCCACAGCAGGATACATGTTCCTACATATTCTCAACGAGTATATCTGGAGCAAGCCGCTCAACGAAGTCGAGACCTCCTCATCGCATGTCAATCCGCAGGCTTTGGCCTGGCTCATGGAAAGTCTACAGAGGACAGACAAGCATGGAAGCGATGCGCATGTATGGGCATGTCAGATGGCGGTCGCAGGCTATATTTTATGCGTCTGCAGCATGTCGCCGGAGCCACCGGCCGAGCGCACCACCAAGATAAGGGGATCGAAGGGGAGCATCATTGTGTGGAAGAATTCACTCCCTTCTCACAGGTGCGAAAGGCTCTATAGATGGTTTGAAGACGAGTTATCACGGTGGACTACTGCAACGGACCCAGCAGTTCGATGGGACACGGCTAAACGGATCATCGACAAGGTTCTGTGGCTTCAATCAGATGGATTATTCTTATTACGGAACATGCTTCGTTAATGAAAAAGAAGCTGAATGTGTCAAAACTATGCAGGCGGAAATCTTGAATGCCATTCAGTGAAACAAGCACCACGTGAAATAAAAATCATCGCTTTAGGATTGCTTTCAACTGAGCTACCTATTTACCGCAACCCAGAAAATGCCATTTAGTCAAAGCCTAGTTAATGGCTTGTGCGCAGTGAAGAGTGTGCACTGCTTCTGAGAAGAGCCCCTTCAGGCAGCGACTGGTCTCCGGGTCGGGCGACAACAAATCGTCTGCCATGATAAATTCTGCCTGTCGAGCACGACTGATAGCCACGCAAAGTCTGTGTTTATCCTCCAGAAAGGAGGTGGCCTTGTGTTGAACCAGATCAAGGAAGATAACATCAGCCTCGTGTCCTTGTGTGGTGTTAACGGTCCGAGCCTCCACTAGACATTTAGAATGAGGACCCGATCTTCCACGCTGCTCGTCTAACTTAGTCATCATCTCGCGCAGAGCAAGTCTATAGCGGAAGTAAGCCTCCTTGTACGGAGACAGAATAAGAATGGTGCCCCGTGTCTCCCCGTCACGCTGCTTAAAGTCTGGGTCATTGACCAACTCTTCCACACGAGCAAGCACCCAATGCATATGCCGTTTGTTGTAGGGGCTAGTTGTAAGCTTGACAACATCACTAGATAAGCCATTGGTGATCGAAACTCGAAAACGGGGAATATTGAATGTTCTCGGAGCCCCCCGTAAGCCAGACATCCAGTCCATCAAGTGCTTGGTGGATGTAGGAATTATTGTTGTCTCATCGAAAGCAGTCTCCATCTTGTTGTCATAAAACATCGACGATGGTAGTTTGTGGAGGTTCGCATAAGCTCTATGATTGATCAAGAGTGAATGGGTCGTAACTCCAAGTGCGTCAGCGCGCGCCATCATGGATCGCTCGAGTTGGTGTCGCCAACGGTTGATTGGACCTTCTTCAGAAAACTTGATAAATGGCAGTGTCTGTCTCGGATCCCCCGTGAATATCCAGGCTACTGGATCGAATCTTGCCACACTTATGAGAGTAGATGCCTCTCGTGCGTGCGGTGCCTCATCAAAAAAGACTAAATCTGGCGAGAAGTTTTTATCGATCAAGTTTTTGGTGGCCGCAACGGGTGTAGTTGCAATGAAGTCCGTCATATCAAGGACATCCCGATACAGCATGGCCAATTGATACTTGTAATAAGTAGGCACGCGGGACTTCTCCCAAACTCTAGGCGTCATGTTTCTGAGATGCAGATATTTGCTGCTATTCCTGTTGTTCTCGTAATGAGCCCATGCGGCTTCGTCCAAAGTTGATGCTAGGCATGCCTCCCTTGTTCTAGTGCGTGCGCGAGAAGGAACATTTTGCGTTCTTCCCAGTTGTATGAACCTGAGGGAAAAGTCCGGAAATTGAATCGGCTTGTTCTCATAGTTTCTCTGCACGGTCCTGCGGTCGTTTGCTTGCTCCTCAAGGGTTCGCTCTCTTTGATTGGTGATCCAGTTCTCCGTCTCTAGCTTTCCATCCTCTACCATCCAAGTACCGCTTCGCACCAAGTTGTCATTCGTGGAGTACATTCGGACTGCTCGCTTTTTCATTCCCAGGCGCTCGTATAGCTTGACCATTCGACTGGCAATGTCACCTAGTGGTTTGTTGATATCAATTAGATAAAGGATCTTGACGGGTCGAGCTTCCATCTCCGAACCACCAACTGGCCTTATTGAATTGACAGCCTGAGCTCTAGCAGCCACATAAAGATTCCAGGTGGTCTTCCCCGCACCCGGACCTCCAGGAACAAGACATACGCCGCATGGGATAC